TTCTCGCCTTTCCCTTGATCTATGTATAAGGTTGGAGGCACTAGAGGGAGGGGTGAGCACATCTGACGTACCAAAGTCCCTGGCTGCTGCCCCCTCCCAACCTGAAAAATGTGCCTTAGGCTAGCCAATCCTCCTGCTGCTGTAAATCTAAGCTCTGCCTCCTCCTACCTTCTTTGAAACCTCGCTGCCTGCCCTGCTGAGTAAGACTTCCCCGGCATGCGATAACCAGACTGGAGAATATCACCCAGGAATCGCGCCCAAATAATCTGCCTGGCCCTTTGTTGCCTCTTGTCACCTGCTTATTTCGGTTAGAATTTATCTTATATTTGGTGCCGAAACTCGGGAAGGGGTGTGAGCATGGGGCCCCGACTGGCCACCGGCAGCCCTGCCCCTTCCTTCCCCTACCTGGGACCTCAGCCTGCTCTCTGCTGCGTGGACTCAGTTTCCCCCAGTCTGTTTCACCTTGTCTGTCCGAAATCATAGCTATGTCCAGGTCTGGGCATCTAGCCCATCAGCTGCAGGCATCCGAGATACCCACCCCCTGGCCCTGCAGTGTGGGGGACGTCCCTCACCCAGGCTCCCAGGATGTCTCCCCAGACTTGGCGCACTTGGGACACTGGGCGCTCCTCTTAGCGGGATTAGTTGGGGAGTGGCACAGATATGGGGAACCAGCCCTCAAAAGCAGAGGCTCAGATCCTGTCACGGTGTCTCATTTCTAATTTAGCTACTCTATATTTGTCCCAGGAAGTTCGCAAACAGAAGCTAGTCTTTCTTTGTTCTGAGGCAGGGCCTCAGTATCCCTTGGACAATCAATCTCGCTGGCCCCGAGGGAACTTTTGATTTTGGCCTCCTCACTGACTTTACCAATTGTTGCCACCGGAACAGAGAGTAGGGTGAAATCCCATATGTGCAGGCTTTTTGGACTTTGTGCCCCCACCCAGACCTTTACGTTGAGTGTTCAATGACCCAAGTTCTCCTGGCCCGATCTCCAGTTAAAGATTGTCAGCCTCTTACTCTGCCCAGTCCCTCTTCCTTTTCAGATCCTCCGGAGGGCCTTGGTCTCCCACCTCTCTCAGCTCACTACCCCCACCCCTCTCCACCACCATCTTTAACTTCTTGGTCATCCCCCAGGTTGCTGCCATCTTAAAGTCCTACATTCTCAACCATGCTGTCATCCTGCTCCTCTCCTCTTCCAGTGGCTGCACCATCCCCTCCTTCTCTCCTTCCGCCTTCACCGCCCTCTTCCCCCACCGGAACACGCTCCTCCCGCCCTCCGGTTCCGGAAGCCACAGACAAGAAGCTAAAAAGAAAGAAAGCAATTAAATATCAGTAACTCGAATCTTTATATCAGTTTGTCTGTCTGTGTATATATGAAGAGTATATACATAACTGTAGTTGTTATGTCTCAATTTGTATGTTTGTGTGTCTAAGTGTGTAAATGAAAAATATTTTCCTACCTCCAGATGGTATTAATAAAAATTGATTTAAAAACAAGCGCCTGTGAAAATTGAGCATTCTAAAACTTCCAGAAAATCTAATAAAAAATATTAAGCATTAATGCTAATTTAAGTTTAACTGAAACAGACATGTCCTTATAGTTATCAGCTGCCAAAATTTACTTAAAGTCATTGAAGTTGAAGTTATCTGTTAAGCATTTAAGAAGATGCTTAAAGAAAAGCTTGACTTTGTCTAATGTTTAGTAGAAGTTTTGTAAGTAATCTACCATGGTTGCTAAAAATAAGTAAACAAGTATAGCAAATAAACATATTAATAATAATACTGTATTAATGTATAACAGTGTATATATCTGCAAACAGCCTGAGAATTTTTGTGGTAACCAAAATTCTTAAAGTTTGCTAAGTTATATAAACTTTGGTGCTTAGTGAGAGATTGTGCTGTAAAGCTCATTGTTACAGAAATTATAAAATATGTTCATAAATTTGTCAAAGAATGCTAGTGTAACAGTTTACAATAGCCTGCTTCTCAGTGTTCACTAAAAATTAAGGTACTTAATGGTTTTCAGTTCTAATTAAAACTACTTAAAGTAATAAGGAAAACATTTCTGCATGCTAAAGAATGTGTCTTTTGATAAAAGAAAGTAACTTTGTTCTAAAGTACAGCTGTTTATTTAGAGGGAGAACTCTAAATGTAAGAAGAAGGTTGTAGAAAGTTCGTGGAAGAATTTAATATGGTCATGCTATATAAAATTAAAGCAAATGAGTCTCGGTATCAAGTACACAGCAAAATTAGAATTTTGTTTTCAGTTAAAAAGACAAAGATTTCCTAAATGTTAGTCTGCTCTTAATATTAAAAATTGCAATGAGTTTTCTAATTGTTTTATCAAAGCAGTTTCTCATGCTTAAAGTCTGAGTGAGTTGTCAGAGTATTTAAGAAAATGAGATCTTAATATTAAAAAACTAAAAGCTAAAGTTTGCTGTGTAACCTTCTTTATTTGCCTTTGAGGTATTTTGTTGTCATTCTGTTTAAATGGGTAAGTATTGCTTCATGGCGACCTATAGTCCTATTTAAGTAAGTGCCAAAGAAACTTTCTTCTGACAACTTCCCAAAATCAAATTCAAAAAGGTACTTTTACCTCTAGTTAACTCTGATATTTTCCAGAAGGCCTCTGGAATATGTCAGAAGAATTTTTTCTCATTGGAGAAAGTATTTGGCTAATTTGGCTTATTTATCTGATATATAAATACCTGTTTAATTACCTGGAAAGCATTGTCAAAGGGAATGATGCTAAACTTTGTTACTGAATGTTTTGTTTTACAGAAATATCCGAATTTCCTTACGTCAACTGTCTTACAGTAAGCTCTCATCAGATCTTTAACCATTGTCATTCGTAAGTCTTTTGTCATTTATAGTCACTGTTTTATTACCCCTAAACTAGTAAAGTTTATTCATGGCAGTATGTTTATTTGCACAAGTTCAATAAGAATCTGCTTTCCTTGTAAGAGAACCAATTAAAAACACTAGTTATATTGCCAAAGCTTTGACTGGAACGTCATACCTGAGAGACGTGTGTAAACTCAGATATGAACAGACAACTTTAAGAAACTAAGATTGACTTTATAAAGCCAACAAAGCCCCTTAGAAGAACTGGCCTAGTACCTTACTTACAGGGTTCCCAGCAGCCTTACCAGGTGAGTAAAGAAGGTCACTTATTGGCAGGTGTAGGAACCTCACGATGTCTTGGAAACCTTGAGAAGAGAAGAATTCACCCAAATCTACAGGTACTGCAGGCAAAACCTGATGGAAAGTCTGTCTGGGCTTTCTGGCCTCAAGAGGCCTTTAAAAGTTCAATCTGAAATTCCTTACAAAAAGTTCCAGCAAAGCACATTTAAAAGAGCCTATGTAATTAATTGCTCTTCTTGCTGCACTTATGCAAATAATCAAGCCAACTGTTATTTTCTTAATCTGGCTACTTCTAATAAAAATAAGGGTGATTTTAGAGAAAATATTGTTTCAATAATGCAATCTTATCTATACTAAATCCTAATACTAGTCATTGAGATGTAAACTCGATCCAAAATTCTAGTTTCCCCATGATACCTGGCTATGATTCTCAATTAGACTCTTCATATTTCTAGTTCTCATATTCAGCCACGCATTCTTAATCTCATCAAGTTTGTCCTTTCAGAACAGAAGCGCCAACCTTCCGAGGCCCTCTCAACTGACCACTGATAGAGACCTAACTGCACCCTTTATGCACCCCCTCTCAGCATGAAGCAGCCAGAGCGGTCATCGCCCCTTTTCCCTAGCAGCAGCTAGGGTCTCTATCTGTAGAAGGGAAAATGAGACAGAGACCATAAGCTTAGACAGAATAAAGTGAGAGCCTCTGGAAAAAGCAAGGCAAGATATTTGCAATCAAAGCAATGTAACTACATACTAAGAACCCCCACCCCCACCCCACGACGCCCCTTGTCAGCCAGAAGTAGCCGGATCAAGTCGTCGCCCATTATGACCAAAAGGCTAAAAGTAAGGTTGGAGGCTTTGGGGGAGGGGGGAGCACGTCGGACACTGATGACATGCCAAAGTCCCTGGCTGCTGCCCCCTCCCAACCTGAAAAATGTGCCTTAGGATAGCCAATCCTCGCACTGCTGTAAATCTAAGCTCTGCTCCCCGCAACCTTCTTTAAAAACTCCCTGCCTGCCCTGCTGAGTGTGACTTCCCCGTCTGTGATAATCAGACCTGAGAATATCACCGGGGAATTGCCCTCAAATAAACTACCTGGGCCTTTGTTGCCTCTCGTCGCCTGCGTATTTCAGTTAGAATTTATCTTACACTATGTAGAAGTAACACACAGTTAACTGTCCTGGCTGAAGGGACACTGCACGGTTTCTGACAGAGGTTAGGCTACTCCCACAGGCCTGTGTTTGAAAGCCCTTAGGCTGGGAGTCTGGACCCTGGGTTCACCAGTTGCCCGATCCACTCCAAGTCACCAACCCCGGCCCAGGTGTCAGTTTCCCCATCTATGAAATGCAAGTCACATCTGTGAGGAAACCATCCCCAACTGCTACTGTGAAATGCGGGTGGCGTCACTTATCGCTGGGCCACGCCTGGCCCAGGGAGGCCAAACTCCAGAGCTGTGAGGGTTCCTTTAAGGTTCCCTCTCAAGTCCCGCGCCACACTTCAGGGCCCTGCCCAGCAGAGCTAGCGGGTCCAGGAGCCTCTGTCCTGGTCCCAGCTCCAGCATCCACTTACTGGGTGGCTCTGGCTAAGGTCACCGGGAGGCCCTATAGGATGTTTTGCCTTCGGGGGAAGCGTCCGGACAGTCTCAAGGCGGCCCTGTGGTGGGGGAACCGAAAGATTGGCTGAGCAGACAGAGTGGGCGGGAGTCAGGCACGCACCAACGGCCTGTAAGCCGGACTCGGTGGCCCAGGCCACGTGACGGGCGCTGGGGCGCGCGGAGGCGGGGCCTGGCGCGCGCGGCTCCGCGACTGACCGGGCGGGCGGGAAGGGGTGGGGTCTCGGGCGGGGCCGCCGGAGGGAGGGGAGGAGCGGAGATGGCGGCGGTGGCGGCTCAGGGGGGCGGGGAGTCCCGGGGAGCTGATGGGGTCGGCCCAGGGGTCCCGGGGGGAGTGGAGACAGTGAAGGGACAGCCGTTCGACGTGGGCCCGCGCTACACGCAGCTCCAGTACATCGGCGAGGGCGCTTACGGCATGGTCAGGTGAGGGGGCGTTTCGGGGAGGGGGCGTTTTTGAGGGAGGGGACTCTAAGGTTGGGGCAGGGAGGGTGCTGAGTGCTTTCTGGACCGGGGAGGCGCGGAGCGCCCGGAGGAGACGGGCTTCAGGAGGCTGCGGAGCGTCCCAGGGAGAGGGCCTCTGAGTGCTTTCAGGGGGAGGGGGCGCTGCGTACGTTTGAAGGAGAGGGAGTTTGTAGGCTGTAGATCCGACTATATAATGAGACAAGGGTCATCTGAGAATGTGTGGGAGTCGTGGGAACCTTGAGGACCCTATAGACACGGGGTGAGGCAAATGAGGCAAAGACAGTAAGTGATCTTGTGGAGTGAAGAGGGAGTGAAGGACCCTTCTTTGGGGAGAGGATGCTATGGATTTCCCCAGTGAGGCCATCAAGGAGTTTGGGAGAGAAGAGCAGAGCTCAGGTCTGAGCAGGGTGGGGCAGGACTTTGGGACTGGGTGGAGGGGCCCAGTAAGCCTTGAGGGATCCAGGAGTGCCTCCCTGCAACTCTTCGGAGGGTCTGTGACTGTGAGTTCTCTCACCCCCACTGTACCTCTAAGCCTTTGCTCATCTGGGAACAGCTCTGCTGCCTGGGTATTCACCCTTACACCTTCTCTCCAGTACCTCCTGTGACTCTCTCCTTCACACTGTATTTGCCTCACTGTAGGTCCTCCACTTATCTCCCACCCACTGGACCTGGCTTGGTTGAGAGAGCCCACCCTAGAAAGGGGAGGATGAGGGGAGGATGAGACAACTAGAATGGAAAGGGTTGAAGAGAAGAGAAGTCAGTGAGCAGTCAGTCTCTTCCTCTGTTTGTGAAGTCACTGAAGGGCAGCCTGGCTGGTCCCCAGCTTTCTCCCTGGAGATCCCAGGCCTTCACAGCAGGAAGGAACCAGCACTGTTTATTACTTTGCCAGAGCCCTCTCCTGCTCCCTCCCCTCCCTGCCAAGACCTGGGTGCGGCTACCAACCAGGCTTGGACTCCCCCTTTGTAAAGTTGCACCAACGACATCTTTCTGGCCTTCTCAGCTCAGCTTATGACCATGCGTGCAAGATTCGCGTGGCCATCAAGAAAATCAGCCCCTTTGAGCATCAGACCTACTGCCAGCGCACACTGCGGGAGATCCAGATCTTGCTGCGCTTCCGCCATGAGAACGTTATTGGCATTCGAGACATTCTGCGGGCACCCACCCTGGAAGTCATGAGGGATGTGTATCCTTCACCTTGGCCAGTTGGCAGGCCAGGCACGGCCTCAGCTGGGCTGGGAGAACATAGGCTTGCTTTCTGTTTCCTTCTTCCCTACACCCTTCAAAACAAACCCAGTAAAAGACACTTTCCCACAGAAAAGAGTGTAAGAGTACTGGGAGGCCTCAGATGAATCCTGTTCTGCAGCAGCCAGACAGTGTGGCCTTGGGCAAGTCTCTCTTCTAGGCTGTGCCTCAGTGGGGGACTGGGCAGGATGGTCTCTATGGTAGCTTTGTCTTCTGACATCTGCAGTTCTGTGACAGGATCCAGCCTCTGCCCACAGTCAGTTCTTGTTTAACGGACAGTGATTATTTGCTCTCTGGGTCCTCAGACTGGAAGGCAGGCAGGAAGGAAGAAAACTGCCCTCTTTTGAGGGCTTACTGTAAGTCAGGTGCAGTGCATGCCAAGTGCTTTGCCATTTAGTTATTCTGTCTCCCCACTTCCCCCTGAGATGTGTCTTATCTGCTCTATTTCAAAGATGAGGAAACTGAGGCTCAGAAAACCTGAGATCCTGTGCTTCTGTCACTGCCTCCTCTCCCCCAGATGAGAGCCTGTCCTTGCTCCTCTGAGCCTTCCCGCTCAGAGCCCCACCCCAGGCACCTGTGGACTTGCACCTTGCCCAGGGAGAGACAACCTTGCCTTTGTTGCCCTCCCCCCATATCACGTTCCTAGTTGTCTACTTCCCGCCTGGCTCTGTTGTTAGCTTATAACACCTGTCACCTCTCCCCACCCCACCCATCCCCAGTCAGTCCCAGTTCTCCACCCAAGCATGGGGATTTATTTGTATTGTGATGTCTATAGTCCCAACCACAAAATGTGGGCAGGAAATCTCCATATTCATTCCCAGCTTGCTGTATGCCCTTAAGCAAGTCACTGCGTCTTGCCATACCTCCTCATCTCTAGAACAGCAGGGTTGACCCCCATGTTCTTAGAAGGCTCTTTTGAGGCTGATTCTAAAAAACAATCCTGACATTCTTCCAGAGACAATCCAAATGGCATTTATTTATTTATGTATGTTTAATCTTTGTTTTATCTTAAATTGTAAAAGTACATTTATTCCTCTGTCTTCTGATTGTATGGCCAGGCACTCTGAGTAGGAGCAGCTGGGAGTTTCTCATTTGTCTTTCACAAATCATTCCCATAAGGCAGGCATTTATTTTTAAGCAAACTTTTATTGCAAGCCAGATGGCATCCACACCTTATCTCACTTAACCCTCTCAATAGCCATGTGGCTCAGGCATTCAGTAGCAATGCTAGTTCATGTTTGCTGAGCACTTGCAACATGCCAAGCACTGGACTGGCTGGTATACACGGGTCACCTCATCTTATTTTCACAACTACTTTCTAAAGAACCATTGTCTCCCCTACAGTACAAATGAGGAATAGAGACACAGACAGGTTGAGGTCACAGCCAGTGAGCAGTGGAGTGGGATATTTCAGACACCAGCAGTTTAACTCCAGAGCTGATGCTTTTAACTGAATTCTCCTGCCTCCACAGTTTATTATCCCCAATTCCCAATAGAGAAACTGAGGCCACAACTGAAGTGCTTCTGCTCGGGTCACCATCTGAGACGTGGCAGAGGCCCCAAGCCCAGCTACTGAGGATAGGCCTAGTCCAGCTCACGATATGAGCTGGAAGATTTGTTGAGTCTTAGGGGCCCCCGCTGGAGGGGACAGGAAACCTAGTCATCAGAGCTTGTTCTTCTTAACCAAGTGCCCCCAACTACCCTCACCTGGGGGGTCTCTGGTGCCATCCTCAGCTATATTGTGCAGGACCTGATGGAGACAGACCTGTACAAGTTGCTCAAAAGCCAGCAGCTGAGCAACGACCACGTTTGCTACTTCCTCTACCAGATCCTTCGGGGCCTCAAGTATATCCACTCAGCCAATGTGCTCCACCGAGATTTAAAGCCCTCCAACTTGCTCATCAACACCACCTGCGACCTTAAGGTCAGAGGATTGGGTGCGGTCAGAGGATTGGGTGCCTGTCCCTTCCTCCCCTGGGGTTTGGGGCTTCCAGGTGACCAGTAGCCCCCTTGAGTATAGGAGCGCATCATAAGCAAAGGGCACAGCATGGGCAGAAGCACTGTGATACAATTGCTTAATTAGGCCTTGGAGGCCTGGAACATGAAGCTTAGCAGCCTGGGTTGGATTCCAGATCTGTGATTTTGGCCTGGCCCGAATTGCTGATCCTGAACATGACCACACTGGCTTCCTGACTGAGTATGTGGCCACACGCTGGTACCGTGCCCCAGAGATCATGCTTAACTCCAAGGTATGTGGGCTACTCACACTGAAGGGCAGGGTCCAGGTCCTAAAAAGTCCTGGAGCTAACTGTTAGCCAGAAATTGATGCCCATGGTGCAGGAAATCTCCTTCCTGCATCATGGGCCTTGTCACATTACTGTGGTCCTTAGGCTCTGGAAAGAAGCTGAGCATTAGTTCCTCCAGGCCTCTGCCCACTCCCTCCCTAGCTGGTATTGAAATAGATTGGGATGGTAATGTGGCCCAGACAACAGGACCCTGTTGCGACTGGCCCAGGAACCCACCATTTTCTCCTCTTCTCAGGGCTATACCAAGTCCATTGACATCTGGTCTGTGGGCTGCATTCTGGCTGAGATGCTCTCCAACCGGCCCATCTTCCCTGGCAAGCACTACCTGGACCAGCTCAACCACATTCTGGGTGAGGATCCTGACCAGCTGAGTGGGAGGGAGGTCAGCTTATCAGAAGCAAGATTTCTTTAGGGTCAGCGTCAGTGCATCTGTGGGAGTCGGGTTGGATACCACCATGTGTGGAGCCCCTACAGCATCTCACAGTATTTCAGTGAGGTACGATACCGTCTCCCACTTGATATATGGGAAAAGCAGAGCTACACCCCATGCTTAGGAGGCACTAGAGTTGAGATTTGAACCTGTAGCTGCCCAAATCCATACTTTTGATCTTCACTACCGTTATAGATAACTGTCAGGACCTGGAGCGGGTTAGTGGGGCTTTTGTTCTTGGCTTTTGTTCCCAGGAGGGAGAGTAAATCTGTCACCAGGTTACCTGCCTTACCTACAGGTATCCTGGGCTCCCCATCCCAGGAGGACCTGAATTGTATCATCAACCTGAAGGCCCGAAACTACTTACAGTCTCTGCCTTCCAAGACCAAGGTGGCCTGGACCAAGCTGTTTCCCAAGTCAGACTCCAAAGGTGAGAGAAATCAGGGCTGGTGTCGGATAAGAACTGGGTGCAGAGGAGGGTACATGAGCTCAGCAGCTGCCTGAGTAGACAGACCCTTGGGGAACAGAGAAGCAAAGTAATGCTCTGGGAGCTCCTCTGGCCTCCCCTTGGACTCCTGACTCCTACCCTTACCTAGCACTTGACCTGCTGGACCGGATGTTGACCTTTAACCCCAACAAACGGATCACAGTGGAGGAAGCTCTGGCTCACCCCTACCTGGAGCAATACTACGACCCAACGGATGAGGTGGGCCAGCCACCAACAGCAGGACTGGTGGGTAGGTGAATGGGTATGCATCCCTCAGTAACTGGCTGAGCCTCACTCCTATCCCAGCCAGTGGCTGAGGAACCTTTCACCTTCGACATGGAGCTGGATGATCTACCCAAGGAGCGGCTGAAGGAGCTCATCTTCCAGGAGACAGCCCGCTTCCAGCCTGGGGCACCGGAGGCCCCCTAACCTGGACAGATGCCTCTGCGCACTAGGCCTGGTGAGTGCTCCTTGGTGAGTGATTCCAGGGTGCCCAGTATGTCTCCGTACAGTCACAGGCTTGCTCATGCCCATGATACATGTGGCAACATGAAGGGCCAGAGCCATCCCAGGCCACACACCTGTGGACCACCAGTTTTATATGCCCCTCCATTCCTCCAACTGCAGATGTCTCCCACCTGTCAACACCCTGTACCTCCAGGCCCTCAGTGACCTCTAAGGAACCTATCTGAGGAACAGAACCAGGTTTTGGCTCTCCCATTATGAGCAGAGAGGCAGGTGGGGCAGTAATTGCACTGGGAGGAGCCAGCAGCACCCGCCTGACCCGGATGCTAAGCTTTCTCATACCTGGTCCCCAGGTCAGCAGTTCACACACCATTAGGGAGCTCTGTAAGGCCTACCCTGACTCATGCCACTCTTCCTCCTTCCTCTGGTCTCCATTCTGTCTTTCTGGCCAGCTGCAACCTGATAAAAGGAAGGCAGACTCAGCTGGGCTCGAACTCCAGCTCTGACACTTATTAAAGAGCTGTGTGATATTGTGCAAGACACCTCACCCCTCTGTACCTCAGTTTCCTGGAGACAGTCCTGATAATAAGAGCAAATCCTTACAGAACACTAAGCATTATTATAAGAGGGTTACCTGTATTCACATATTTAATCTTTTCATCAGTACCTTGAGATTGTACTAATGTTATCCATCCCAGTACAGATAAGTAAACCAGACACATCCCACTCAGCTGTCAGGATGCAATGAGACAGTTGAGGTCAGGGCTTTCTCAGGGATACTAGCCCTTAAGCCTTAGGAATATTCCTTCAGGGAAAATGGGGTAGGGTTTTAATGAGATGAGGCCTCTCATCTCATTAAATGAGAGAGAGGGCCTCTCTGGGTGCTAACGGTTCCTTTCTTGCTTGCCTTTTTGTTTAGGCCCTGCCTCCTGCCTGCCCCTTCCCTGCTGGACTGTTAGAAAATGGACACTCTGCCAAGCCCAGACCCCCGCAGCCCAGGCTGGGGCAGAGGGCAGGCCTGATCACCTTCCCTTGCTTTGCTCAGGCCTCCTGCTTAAGGCAGGCCAAGGCTCCCTCCATTCTCCCTCTCCTCTCCAGAACCTGTGGGGCTCAGGTGGCCTCAAAGTAAATTCCCCTCTGCTGCTCTGCCTTCATCTACCCCAGCTATCCCAGTCTCTGGCAGTTCTGGAATCAAAGGGCTCTGGCTGCCCCAGGACCTACTGAGGGGTGGTGGGGGATGGGGGACACTGAGTAAGGACTCAGGGCAAGCCCTGCCCCACTCATCTCATTAAAACCCTACCCCATTTTCCCTGAAGGAATATTCCTAAGGCTTAAGGGCTAGTATCCCTGAGGAGCAGGACCCAGGCCTGAACTCCCTTCCCTGGAAAGCTACCACATCTAATGCCCTCCTACCCCACCCCATCCCACCCCGCTGCTGCATCTGTGTGTGGGTGAGCAGAAGTAGAGGTGGGGGCACACAGGAAACCCTATGCCTGTATCTAATATATAAAATATAGAGATGTGTGTATGATGGCCCTGGCTCTGTCTGTGTTCGCCGATGCCTTCACCTGAACCATTGCTGCTTTGAGGACTGACTGTTTGGCCCAGCACTTGCCAGCTGTGGCTTTATCCAGCCCTGGCTACCTTTGGCTCCCTAGCTGGCAGGGCTGAGAATGAGGGTATAAGGAACCCAAACTTTTGGACAGAGTGGGGTCAGTTTGACCTCTTAGTCATTGTCCTCTTCCCTCTTTAATGTCTTCTGGTCTAACTAGCTGGGGGTGATTTGGGGGTGACTCGGGCACCCTGCACAGCCCCAGATTCTCTGGAAATGGCAGGGGGTGGTGTGTTATACAGCCTGGCTGTAAGCACCAGTGGGAAGGGGAAAGGTGGTTGCAGACCCAGTGGGGGGACATGATTCCCCAGTGCGGCCAAGGAGAGGGTACTAGGGTCTATTAAGGATCTAGGATGTGAGGGCCAGAGCTGCCGGACTTCTACTCCTGCCTCTACTCCATTCCCTGCTGAGCCCTGCAGCCTGGCCCTGAGCCAGCAGCAGGCTCAGCAGGTCCCAGGGGTGTGGTGGCGGCCAGTGGTGGAGCCAGCCTGCATGGGCCAGGCAGGCAGTGGAAGCAGCACAGTCCATTGGGAACAGCTGAGCTTGCCGCAGCCAGAGCCAGGACAGACAGCGCGGCCATGGGCTCTCTGCTGTACTACGCCCTGCCCGCTCTAGGCAGCTATGTCATGCTCTCCATCTTCTTCCTGCGCCGGCCTCGCCTCCTGCACACACCCCAGGCTCCGGCCTTCTGTCCCCACCTGGCAGCCCATCGGGGAGGTGAGCTGGGTCAGGGTAGGAAGGTGGGGGTGGCAGCTATTGAGGGTGGAGTGAGGATAGCAAGAAAGGTGACTGGGTGGGCAGCAGTGAGGGGCAGGATGGAGGAAGAAGGCAGAAGTCAAGGTAGGTGGAGAGGGGTGGTGGGGCAAGATGTGAATTGGGGAAAAAGGCCTGTTCAGCCTGGGTGGACTCAGGGTGATGAGTCAGGAGTGAGGGGAGAATGAGTTGGCCAAGGCCCTAGGGACCCACCCCAGCTGCCCCACACAGGATCTGGAGAGCGGCTGGAGCACACCATGGAGGCCATGGAGAAGTGAGTACACCTGTCCGGCCAAGCTGCCGGGTACGGTTGTGCCAGTTGGGTGCTGCATGACACTAAGGGTGCCATTCACTTCTCAGTCTGGTGACTTGAGCCCCCTGGTGGTGAACCCTGCACAGCCTGCCATCTCACCTTGAACTTTGCCCTCTACTCCCCTGAACCTCCCCACCACCCCACGGTCTGCGCCACCCCTGTCCTGTGCCTCACACTGACTTTTGCTCCCATAGCTCCATGGCCCAGCAAGCAGACCTCCTGGAACTCGACTGCCAACTGACACGGGACGGTGTGGTGGTAGTGTCGCATGACAAGAACCTGTCCCGCCAGTCAGGTGTGAATAGGGATGTGGGCAGCCTGGACTTTGAGGTGAGCCTTGCCCAGCCCCCTACCATACCCAGAGAGCTGCCATACCTCCACACATACCTCCCAGTGATATGCTCCCTGCTCTTGCCAGGAGCTGCCCTTTTATAAGGAGGAGCTGGAGGTTTACTTCTCACCAGGTCAGAGCATGGGCTATGAGCCGTGGGCTGGGTCAACCAGAGTGGGGTCATGGCCTTAACCTCCTGCCCTCTTCTTCTCTGGGACTCTCCCCTGTCTCCATGGTGAGCCCCCCCTACCCACCCCAACCCTCCTGTGATCCTACTTCCCACACCCTGCAGGCCACTTTGCACATGGGTCAGACCGGCACATGGTGAGTCTGGAGGATGTGTTCCAGAGATTCCCTCGGATGCCCATGAGCGTGGAGGTCAAAGAGGAAAATGAAGAGCTCATTCACAAGGTGGGGCTGCCGACAGGTGGGTAGGGCCCAGGCCTGGAGAGACACCTGGCCTGACTCCCCTTCATCTACTCCTCCTCCTCCCAGATAGTAGACCTAGTGAGGCACTTTGACCGCAATGAAATCACCATCTGGGCCTCAGAGAAGAGCTCAATCATGAAGAAGTGCAAGGCTGCTGTGAGTCCCTTTTCTCTCCCGGCCCCAGTGGCCCCTCCTCCAAGGGTAGAGGAGTTTGGGGGGTGTTTCTGGAGCACCCTAAGCAGGGTCTCAAATGTAGGATTATGAGAGGTGAGGTGATGAAGAAAGTGTCAGCAGCGTCATGCTGCCGGGAACTGGGAGAATAAGTACACTGAGGCCTCTAACGCTGGGCCAAGAGGGGGCTTTGATCCTGCAGGTGGTAGGGCTTCCTGAATGTCCTAAACTGTTTATCCTGAAGCCCAGACCTCCTCTATGCTTCCCCAGGAGCAGACTGATCCCCTTTCTCACTTGCCCTTGTCTCCCAGAACCCTGAGATGCCGTTCTCCTTCACACAAAACCGAGGATTCTGGCTGCTGCTGCTCTATTACGTGGGGCTGCTGCCCTTCATGCCAATCCAGGAAAGATTCCTCATCAGCTTCCTACCCACCATCATCAACAGGTGCTCAGAGGGTTCCCATCTCTCTTCTTTATCTTCCCCAGGCCCCCAGCTGCTCTGTCTTCAGAAACCCCTCCTCCTCAAGCCCATCGTACAGGGTCCCCAGCTCCCTGACCACCCTCAAGCATAACCCCCAGGGTCCTTTGAGGACAGTCAGCATTCATGAATACTAAGGGGGCCACAAACCCCCTGAAATTCTGTGCAAATGTGTATTCATATGATTGGAGTTTTTGGACAAAGCGTTCATTTATTTATCCACTCACCCAACAAATATCTGTTGAATGCCTACTCTGCTCCGGGTGCAGTTACAGTGGTCAACAAAACCAGTGTGGGTGGGGTAAGGCCCTTGGTGAGCTTACAGTCTGGCTGTGGAAACACGTAGTAGGTAGAGCATCACTCTCTGATTCTCAAAAGGAAAAGCAGGGTTTTTCCTGCTGGGAGACACAGTAATGGCTGGGAAAGTATCAGGAATTTTGATACTTCCCCAGTGCTCTCTGCTCCTTCTGTTGACCTGAGGGAAGCTCCCAACCAGCCACCAAAATGCCTTGCTACGAAGAAAGACATCATTATACTACAGAACTTTATGTACATACTTTTTAATGTAGAATTTGCAAAGTGTTCTTACATCCTTTAGTTTATTTGAGCTTTACCTAACAGCCTGCTCAGGAGGTACAGGAATCATAATCCCCATGTACCCATGGAGAATCCGAAGCTCCAAGAGTTTCTGTAATTTGCCCAATTGCGGTCACACAGCTGGAGGTACAGAGCCTGGCTTTGCACTGGATCTGACTCCAAAGCCTGCTGTGAGACATTGTAAAGGACCTCTGAAGTCATGCCTGGAGTCGGGTAATTAGGGGGAAGTAGCTGACCCATTAAACACTCCGTTGTCAGGAAACTGGTCAGGCCCAACCAGAAGGACCTTCAGATTGCATGTCCAGGTTGGGAATCAAGCTGGGCTCCAGTGCTGGTCCTAGCACCATCACAGATTTACTCTGTGACCTCAGGGAAGTCACTTTAGCTCTCCAAGACTCAGTTTCCTCTTCTGTAAAACACTGAAGGGAGGGCACCCTCTCAAAGCATGATGTCAAGGCTATGGGAGTGGGGTCTCACTGAGCAATAGGTGAATTGCTCATCTGGGCAACTGCAAAGGTTCTAGAGGCGGTGGGCTTATACTGGTCAGGAGTCCTGACCACCCCAGCACACCCATGACAGAGACCCAAAATGCTGACTGCAGTACTCCTCCTCCACAGGACCTATTTCCCATTTTCCTGCCCAGGTCTGAACCAGTTGGCAGCTGTAGTTTCCAAATGGTAAGGTGATAGGGAAGGCTGGGTGACGTGTCCCCATAGAGACCCGCCGCTGCCCTTCTCCTTCATCCCTCGTCATGGCCTTTCCCGCATCCTTTTCACTAGGTTCCTTATGAGGAAAAGTCTGATCCAACACCTGGAGCAGCGAGGAGTGCAGGTGAGGCTTGACCACCACCCCCTCAGCAAGGAGGTGGCTCTCAAGTGTGGGCCTAGCACAGCCCTTCAGTCATAGCTCTGCTACTCAGCAGCTGGGTCACTTGGCAGGTCACTCTCTGTGTCTCAATTTCTTCATCTGTAAAATGGGGAGAATGGTATATTTAACTCTTCTGCATTGTACTGGTACTTAGTAAGCGCTTGATAAATGCTAGCCATTCTGATAACAATGATGAGTCAAACCTACTGCCCTGACTCCTATTGAGGGGGGCTGGGGAAAGACCAAGAAAAGGAAAAAATCCAGCCCAGCCCCGTCCCACCCCCAACCCTGAGCATCAGCTTTGACCAATTCATTTACTTAGCAAACCTTTGTTAAGAACTTCTAGGCACTGTGGTACCAGGGATAGAGCAGGGAGCTTACTATTAAAGACAGAGGAAGGAAATGAAGCAGTTTATCACAGCAGTCTGAAAGGAAACCATGCTAGAGATGGCCTCTGGAAGACATGAGGAGCTGGTTCATCAGAAGAGGAAGATGACAGCATCTCAAGCAGGAGCCTCAGCATATGGGAAGGCCAGGAGGAACAAGAGAGGGTTTCCACCAGGCTGTGGTCTGGAGGAAGAACGTGAAGAGAGCTGGAGAAGGCAGGAGAGGACGAGACAGGCAGCCGGTGAACCTCAGTAAGGAGCCTGGACTTCAGCCAAAAGGGAAGGGAAGCTTTTGAGGTGCTTAAGCAGGGGAGAGGTTTTATCCAGTTGAGGTTTGTTGAGGGTCCTGTCCCTCTGGTCACTGTGTGAAGTGATCGTGGGAGCCAGTGTGGAACCAAGAGGGTCCATCAGGATGCTGATGCTGCCATGGACAGGCCTCAGGCTTAGGTGCCAGCAATGGGGATGGATGGAAGTGTTAACTCAGACAGGCTGGGGCTCAGGGATGGACGGGATGTGGGGTAAGTGAGGCATGGGGGTGGGGAGTGACAAAGCACTTCCAGATGAGCCCTTCTCACTGCATGGGGCTTCCCCATTACTCTGGGAGGTTGGACCATCACACTCATTTGTTACAGTAAGGAACTAAGAGGTCCAGTGACTTGCCCGGGATACAGACACCATCTCCACCTTCCTCACTGCCCACAGGAGAGGACTCAGGAGGCAGGGAAGATGGAGAGCAGCAGGAGATGCAGGCAGGATGGGAAGCACTGGCATGCTGGTAAATGTTTCACAGCTGCTCTTCCAGAAGAAAAAAGCACCCTGATTTGAGCATTACTTCCCTGGTGTATATACTTCCACTTCGGCCAATTTCAAGCTACCAACATGAAGTCACTGAACAGAGTTGGAAAAAGATGTGTGCTGGCACACCATAGCATTTTCGTCTTACACATTCAACAGACATAAATAGCATCCATAGGTTATAGTGAGTATAGGTAACAGTAAAATGTAGCAAAGTAATTCAAAAGTGATGAGTTTTGAGTATTACCTTTAATATGTTGAATTGAACATTTATACAAGTTAATATTTAATAATGGCTTTATCTATGACCAGTTTATAAAACTCCTGAAAAGTTAACCATCAGCTCCTGCATACCACTGCTCGGAGCTCTCCACAGAGGAGATCCTGGTAAAGTTGTTTAGAAACCACAAAACCTACCCTTTCCACTCAGGTGATATTTTGGTGCCTTAATGAGGAGTCAGATTTTGAAGTGGCCTTTGGCCTGGGAGCCACTGGTGTCATGACTGATTACCCCACAGCCCTGAGGCACTACCTGGACAACCGTGGAGCAGCTGCCCAGGCCTCCTAAGCTGGAGTCCCTCAACTTCTCCTCTATTTCTCTTCCCCAATAAATACATAAATACTTCATTTTTAGTCATGTCTTTGTGTTTAAGGGGTAGGGAGTATGGTGGCATTGTGGGAATGGGGGCAGATCCTAGAAGACTGTAGAGATGGCAGCTTAGAGCAGAAGACACCAGCCTAGGGCCAGAGTTGGGCCCTAACCAGCCTGACCCACTGGTTCCACCACATTCCAGCCCCAGAGTAATGCCACACCCTGTGCCAGCCTGGCCTCTACTCCCCTCAGGAATATCCCTTGCAGAGGCAAGTCCTCCCAACCCCCCCTTCACCTTTTCAGAACCACAGATAATGGTTCCATTCTCCTGAGGACATCAAGACCAGGCACACGGTAAGGGACTTGACTTGCCCCTACGGGCCTTCTCACTTGGCCGCAGAGGGTGGGCACAGCTGGGACAGCTGAGTTCACAAGTGCCCATGTAGATGCCTCAGCCATTCCAACCTTCCACTCCCAAGTCTCCTACTCCAGAAGCTCTCCGAATTCTTCAGCCCTGTCCAGCCCTAGTATTTTATTCATTGAATGAATCACGTTTCACTAATTTTTATGGACTACCCTAGGCCAGGCTGGGTACTATGGTGAGTTCACGGAACAAGACAAGTCTAGTATGGCACACATGTTTAAACTGAGTTTTCAGCTGAGTTTAGAGGTGACGGAAGGAAAGGGGGAAGCCCACAGCAGACACCTAATGCATTCTGGAGGAGCAGGGTTATCAGAGGAGGCTGCCTGGAGGAGGTGATGCTCAACAGCAGGGGCTGGCATGTTCAGAGGCTCTGGCTCCCAGGGGTCTAACACAGATGGACACCCTCAGCACTTTCATTCCAAATCTGCCTGGTGCTAATGGCAAAGACCGTGGAATGGGACCAAAGTGAAAATCCCAACTTTGCCCCTTACCAGCTGGACAGACCTCCTTGGACCTCAGCTCCCTGGTAAAGTGGGAACAATAGCAGAAGCTGCCTCACAGGATTGCTGCAGGGGTTGAGAGTGGAGCATAGGCGGTGAGTAAAAGCCGATGATTATGACTGTTATTTCCCGGGGGGGGTGCGCATAGACACCATTTTCCTCCTAACCCCAAGGCCAGGTCACGTACCTCAGATCCTTGCCACTTGAAGGACCACGGGGGCCAGGAAGCGGGGCCACGTAGCTTGGGCCGCGGATTTGGCTGGTTGGGTTGCGAGCCGCAGCCGCATTTCCGGGCCAGCCGGAGCCCGAGCAGGGGGAAGGGCAGCCCAGGCCTGCACTGGCCGCTGTGTGACGCGCCCCCTCATTTGCATGCTGCGCGCCGATTGGCCACAGCGACCGGGACCAGAGGCCGGCCCCCTCCCCCTCCCGCCGCAGCGGCGGTAGCAGCTGGTCTCGGTGTAAACAAGTCGCGGCGCCTGCGAACCCGTGCCGGGGGGGACGGCGCCCACCAGGAGCGTCCCCCACTCCCAGGCCAGGCCACCCCGGCGGACCGGGCCCCCGCGCGCCCAGGCGAGGTGAGACTCGCATCGTCAGGGCTGCGCATCGCCCCGTGCCCCGTCCCCGCCAGCGAGGACTACCCCCTTCCGTCAGCGCCCGCCCCCATTCCCGCGCCCCAGGTGAGCCCGGGGTCTCAGGTAAGGCTCCGCGATGCAGGTAAGATCCCTTAGGCATAGACAAGGCCCCAAAGCCCGCAAGTAAGAGCCACTCCTCTGCTAGGTGGCCCTTCACCCCCCAGTGAGGCCTCACTGCCTGCTCCAGGTGAGGAACCTTCTCCCCAGGTGATCTCCCTGTACCTCAAGTGGAGCGGTAACCATCCTTCTCCAATCCCTGGCAGTTCAGATGAGGTCCTAAAGACCATCCAATTCCTAATCCCTCCGTGCTTCCCATACACTGAGAACTGAAAGCTCACCCAACTCTAAAGCCCCCTCCGCCAGTTTCAGTTGCTAGGTCAGCAGGAGTGAGGCCAGAAGTGGGTGGGTGATTCACCTTGGGCCCCTCCTAGCCTCAGTTTCCCCGTTGATGCAATGTGAGGCCTCCTCAGTGAGTCAAAACTGAGACGGCTCTGGCCCCTGGAGATGTTGCTGGCTCTGGGGATAGGAGGCAGCAGCCAAGTGTGACAGAATCCCCATAGCCCTGGGTGTGCCTGCATGTGTGTGCCCCTGGTCCTGACAGCCAACTCACTGTCTCTCTGGCAGGCACTGGGCTCCCTCTGCTCCCCGTGGGCCGCTCCCCGCGTGGGGCCACTGCCCCCGGCCCCCGCCATGGTGCGGATTTCAAAGCCCAAGACGTTTCAGGCCTACTTGGATGATTGCCATCGGAGGTATAGTTGTGCCCACTGCCGCGCTCACCTGGCCAACCACGACGACCTCATCTCCAAGGTAACCAACCAGGTCACTGTTGGTGGAATGGGAGGCTAAAGGGGCTGCCTGGCAGCTCCCCACCAAGAGTCCTGACCAACCCCTTCTCTCCCTCCCACCCTTTAGTCTTTCCAGGGCAGTCAGGGGCGTGCCTACCTCTTCAACTCCGTGTAAGTATGTGGTCTCCTTTCTTTCCCTGGCCTCAGTTGTGACCTATGACCCCTGGCATCATGCTGAGACTCCTGGAGTCCCCTGGTTCAGGCAGAAAGTTGTGACTGCCCTTCTGTTGGATGCTAAGGAGAGGCACAGTTGGATACAAGCTAAAGGGGGACTTTCTAATGGTGGGACCCTCCCTGGGACTGCCCCCATGTCCCTGCAGGGTGAACGTGGGCTGCGGGCCAGCCGAGGAGCGAGTGCTGCTGACAGGACTCCATGCTGTTGCTGACATCCACTGCGAGAACTGCAAGACCACTTTGGGCTGGAAATATGTGAGTCGGTGACCTCTGACCCCCGACTAGCCTTTAACCTGACCCCTCACATCATCTTCTCCTCAAAAGCAGTCATCTGGTCATCTTTCAGAGTATATGGGCCCAGTTCACACAAGTAAAACTGTCTTTTCATCCCCTGACCATGTGCTCATCTCTCACATCCTAAAAGGGCTTTTACAGTTTTTCTCTTAACCCATCCCTTTCCTCACAGGCTCAAGCATCTCCACTTTAGACATGAGGATATAATCAGAATTACCATTTAATGAATGATGTGGCATGCACTGTCATGTGCTTGGCATATATTATTTTATTCTGTCATTCCAACAATCCTGTAGGTAGAGTCTATTATTATCTCCACTTTACAGAAGAAGAAAGGAAGGCCCAAGGATGTTAGGTAATTTTCCTGAGGTCAAACAACTGGTAAGTAACAGAATAGGGATCAGAATCCTACGGGTGTGTGTGTGTACCAGAATCCTAGGTGTATATGTGTGTGTATGTGTTTAATCCCAAACCCTTGACTCCCAGTTTCTGTAGCCATTCAGAGGATCAGAGAAGTTCCCAAGACCTCACAGCAGCATGGAGCTTGGGTCCATGAGCCTCCATTTCCACAGCCCTCCTTGCCACTGGCACTGTCCAGGGTCTGATTTCTCTACTCTGAGTCTCAATTCCTTATCTGACCGTGGAGGAAAAAGTCACCATCTGGCACCTAAGATTGTTAAGAGAATGAGATTAGATACAGCAAAAAAAGATGCTCTTGGGAAACCGCAAGGGACAGGAGGCCTCAGGCATCACTTGGAGCAGTGGTGCCACTGTGAGGTGTTATATCTCAGGCACAGACAGGCAGACAGCCCTAATCTGAGTTCGCTCCTGGCCTTGCCACAGATTTGCTGTGTCCCTGGACAGGTGGCTTGGCCTCTCTGGACCTCTATCGAATAAAAAGGTGGTCTAATCCAAAGGTCAAAACCTCAAGTGCTTGCAGGGCCAGGCAGAGCAAAAGTGTGTGTGTTTTTAGGGTGGGGCAGGGTTGTCTTTGGCAAATTGGAGCGATACTTTATTATCTTTAACTCTGCTAGCCAAACAAAACGCGTAAGCCAAAACTGGCCCTCAAACTACCAGTTGTAATCTCTGGATCTTTTAGAAGTTTCCATATTTTCTCTGTTGGAGTCAACATTAGTATACTTAAAAAGTACTCATGATTCAGAGTTCTATCTCTTCTGGTAGTGAGAAGCCTGGCCCTGCCATTTAGCATCTCTGTATCTGTGGGTAGGTGGTTTGGCTTCTCTGGGTGACAGTTTCCTCCTCTCAAAAATGGGGCAAATTGTGCCCACTCCACAACCCCTATCCGTTTTGGTAAGGCCCTTGCTCCAGGGTTGAGGGTTCTCCCCTCCTTTCAGGAACAGGCTTTTGAGAGCAGCCAGAAGTACAAAGAGGGGAAGTACATCATTGAACTCAACCACATGATCAAAGACAACGGCTGGGACTGACAGCTACCCCTGCCACATGTGGTTCCAACCTGGCTTGGGTGCCAGGGGGAGCCAGTGGCTTCCCACCACTCACTCCAAGGCGCTCTGGACCCTCAGGGCCCCTGCAGAGGAGGAATCCAGCTCCTGTACATATATTTTATTGCATGCACTGTGACCTTGGGGGGAGATCATAAGGTGGAAGACACCCCTGCACCTCCCTGCGATCTGGCTGGCTTGGATCTTGTTTTTAATCCCTTTCTGCCCTATAGATATGGCCTGTGTACTGCTCTCTTGGCCCCAGTGCATCGTCTGCCCTGTGAACTTACCCAACTGGGCCCTTCTTACCCGATGTGTATCTGCTCTCCTTGTTCTGTAGAGTTTGTACATAATAAAACAATGAAGTCAAGACAGCCCTGGCTCTCGTGGAATCCAGGAGAGGAGACTCAAATGTGGATTCCTGCCTCTATAGACCTGTTTCCTTCTAAACTCCGACCGGGCATGGAGTAAGCTCAGCGGTCAAACCTGGGGTCTGCGCTACTAAGGCTCAACCATCTGAGACCTAGGGCGGGTCTCAACTGCTCGTGGAATCTCCGGAACCCATTCTGACTCCCTAGGCCTTGACCTGTGCTGATAGGCGTCTTCTCTGACTTAGCATTTTGCTGCCGCCTAGAGACAGCTTCCCTGGGAGGCAAGTGCGTCGCCACTTTTGCGAGCCCCTCGTCTCGACTACAACTTCCAGCGGCCGCAGCGGCATCTATCGGTCGCCTCTGCGCTGGGCCTGTTGGGAAGTGTAGTTCCGAGGGTTCCCAGCGCGGGACCTTCTGGGAATCCTAGGCGCCAGCCGTCTGAGATTGTCGACCTGTGGGGCGCCCCTAAATTTTTAAGATTTAGCCGAGGGTGGTTTTTTCAGAATGGGAGCTAGGAAGGACTCCAGGTTTCAGACCTCTGGCTGCAGGCTTCTCGAGGTCTCCAATACCCTGCGTAAAGATAAGCTCAGGCTGCGGCCCTCCAGCCCTGCTCTTTCCCTTAAGCATGGTTCATACCGCCAAGCCCCGTCCTCCAAGTGAAGCAGGAGTCACCTGCCAGAAAAGTCTGGGGCGCCAATGTCTGCCCCAGGTCCCCAGTCTCCATCCCAGGGACCAGGCTCCGCCCTCAGCTTATCCCTAGCCGGGGCTCCCCCCGTGGGAATGGGGACCAGCTGGCCGGAAGCGCCAAACTGCGTCCCTGTCCGAGCCCTGGGGATCAATCAGGCCGAGAATGTTAATTATGTAATGAGGGGGCAGGGGGTCGAGGCTAATGAATCCTGGTGGGGTGGGTGGAGAAGGGGAGGGTACCCAGGTATCCGGCCTCCTCTTGGACCCCTTCCAGGCCCCAGGGGTCTCCACCCCAGCCCAACTCCAGGGCCCCAAAGAGGGGAGGGGCTGTGATCCTGGGTCTGGAAGGGGCTGAGCTGTGAGCTATAAAGGGAGCATCTCTTAGCACGGGGACTCTAGGCAACTAGACCTGAGGCCAGACAGGACTAACTCCATGTACCATCCACAAGAGTTGTACCCCTCCCTGGGGACCAGCTACCGCCTTGGGGCTCCCCAGCCGGGGACAGATTCCAGCTTCCCCCCTCCCCTGGCAGAGGGCTACCGATATCCCGGTGAGCGCAGGGACGAGCTCCTGCGCAGGGATTGGGGGTGGGGGAGCTGTGGCCCTGTGCTGGCTCCTCATTCTCCCCCATTGCCAGATCTGGACACTCCCAAACTGGATTGCTTTCTCACGGGTATTGAGGCTGCTCCCTGCACCCTGGCCGCTCCTCCACCTCTACCCCCGCTGCCCCCAGCCCTGGGCACTGAGCCAGTACCCCCAGCCCCAGAAGCCCTTCATTCGTTCCCTGGAGTCAGCCTGAGTCTGGAGAATCAGGAGCTGTGGAAAGAGTTCAATTCCGTGGGAACAGAGATGATCATCACCAAAGCTGGGAGGTGAGGGGGCTGGGACAGGGTCAGAGCACCCAGTGTGTTCCCGGTGGGGATCTCTTGGGAAAAGCAGAGTTCCTGGTGATGGGGCTAAGTTTGGGGGTTTCTAGAGGGGCTAGAGCTCTGTTTAAATTCAGAGTGTGATTGTGGCGTGGTCAGGGGTTACTCTATGGCTGGATCAGGGGTCATTCTTCAGCAAGGGTCAAGGGTCAGTCTGTGGAGTCTATGGCTGGTATAGAGAGCAACCTATGGCAAGGGTCCTAGGTCAGTCTAGGCCAGAGTCAGAAAGTATGGCTGAATTATAGGTTAGTATGTGGCCTAGATCAGAGGTCAGTCTGCAGATAGAGTCAGGGTTCAGACTATGACTATGGTCAAGGCCCAGCCAGTGACTACCATCAGGGAAATCTGGCCATGATCAGGGTTAGTATGTGACTAAGACCTTAGAGACAGGAATATGGCCAGTATGTGGCCTGTGTTGGGGTCTTTATCTAGGCCAGGCGCCCAGGTCCTGGCGTGATAAGTCCTCTGCCTTGCTGAAGGCAGGGCATTTTTCTGAAGCCAATTCTCTTCAGCAGCTGTAGAGTCTGGTTCTGGAGATCAGGTGAGGAGATCAGGATGGGGAGCAGGAAGCTCCTGTAGAGAGAAAGTATACTACCACAGCTTCTGCAAATGGAGCTTGAGGGGCCAGGAGTCAGGGTTCTGGGCTCTGCTCCAATCTGCTCTGTGACCCTGGTCAGATCATCTGTCCATCCTGTCACCTGTCTGTAAAATACGATGTAAGACAAGCTTCCAGCTCGGAGACGCTGTCCTCTGAGTTCAAATTCTACCTCCCTCAGTGGTTCTCTGATAAAACTGGGTGGGCTGCTGGCTATGTTCCCTTTCTGGTGCTGTGGTACCCCTGGCTCCAGGCCTCTCCCATCACCTCCCTGTCCAGGCGCATGTTCCCTGCTTGCCGAATATCAGTCACTGGCCTGGACCCTGAGGCTCGCTACCTGTTTCTACTGGATGTGGTTCCCGTGGATGGGGCTCGCTACCGCTGGCAGGGCCAGTGCTGGGAGCCCAGTGGCAAGGCAGAGCCCCGCCTGCCTGACCGGGTCTACATTCACCCTGACTCTCCTGCCACTGGTGCCCACTGGATGCGGCAGCCTGTATCTTTCCATCGTGTCAAGCTCACTAACAGCACGCTGGACCCCCATGGCCACGTGAGGCCCAGGCTGTGACCCCAAGCTGGGGGGTGGGGGTGGGGCCCAGAACAGGGAGTCACTTCAGTTCTTCCCTCACAGCTGATCTTGCACTCCATGCACAAGTACCAGCCCCGCATACACTTGGTGCGGGCCGCCCAGCTTTGCAGCCAGCACTGGGGGGGCATTGCCTCCTTCCGCTTCCCTGAGACCACATTCATCTCTGTGACAGCCTACCAGAACCCGCGGGTAAGTGACTGCTTGTGGGGATGGTGGTGTCTTACCCAGGCTGTGGGACCTTTGACCCTGGATGTGTACCCCCAGATCACACAACTGAAGATCGCAGCCAACCCCTTTGCCAAGGGCTTCCGAGAGAATGGCAGAAACTGTAAGAGGTGGGCATTGTTCATTCACTCGCTCATTCAACAAATGTTTATTAGTCACCCCGTGTGTGCCCAGCACTGTGGTGGAGGCCAGGAACACAGTGGTAAGTAAAAACATTTTTTTCACTTATTGATTCAACAAGTACTTATTTAGCACCTGCTGCATGCAAAGCACGGTCTGGGCACTGGAGATGCATCAGTAAACAAAAGAAACCAAAGCCCCTGTCATCGTGAAACTGATACTCTAGTGGGCAGAGTAGACAAGCAAGAGAAATAAATAAAATATATGATGTGTCAAGGGTAAGCTCTAAAGAGAAAACAAATAAATCAAGGAAGAAAGATAGGAAGGACTGGAGTAAGGTATTTTTTAGAGGCCTAGGAAGGTCCTGAAGGAAGTATAGGAGGGAGCCAGGTGGATATCTGGGAAAAAGCATGCCAAGGAGTGGGAACAGCATGTGCAAGGGTCCTGAGAGCAAGCCCATAGTGTGGCTGGGTAGAGTGAGAGGTAACAGGGAGCCAAATTATATTGGACAGTGAAGGGTTAGTTAAGGCTCTGGCTTCAATTCTGAGTTCAGCCCCCACCCCCACCCCCCACCGCCCAGAGCTGGCCCTTCCTCTCAGGAGCTTACAGACTGGCCAGAGATAGGCATTAATCAAAGAATCACTCTGAATTAGCAGAACTGCTGACATGTTATAGGGGGTGCTGTGGGAGGTCAGCTTGAACTGAGACAAGAAGGATGAGCTACAAAGGTGAAGGGGAACAGAAGAGGATTTCACAGAGGGGCTGAAGGGCACAGCAGACAAGGTGGGATGAGCTGGCTTCAGACCACACCCTGGCCTTGTATCTTGGGAAGGACTTTCCAATGATTCTAATGCAGTAAGAAAACCATTGGGAGGTTTTAAGAAGGGAATAAATCCCAGCTTTGCCACTTCCTAGTCATCTAATTCTCTGGCCTTCAGTTCCTTCATCTATAAAATGGGTATAATAATGGCACCTACCTGATAGGGTCCCTGGAAGGGTGAGATGCCTGGCACCTGGTAAGTGCTATTGTTACCATCATCACCACCACCACCACCACCATCACTATTCCCCAGGGAGCGAGATGCCCGTGTGAAGAGGAAACTGCGGGGCCCAGAGCCAGTAGCCACAGAGGTCTGTGGGAGTGGAGGTGAGTATGGTCCCAATGGTGATGGGGCCAGGCAGGCCTGAGACGCTGATCCTCCTTAGCCCAACCTGTCCCCTTCTATCTTGCCAGATGCACCAGGTGGCCCCTGCGATTCCACACTGGGTGGGGATGTTCATGAGTCAGATCCAGAGCAGGCCCCAGCCCCCCAGGAAGGTGCCCCTGCCTCAGCTCCTCCATGTGGTGGCCCCAGTGCCGAGGCCTACCTTCTGCACCCTGCAGCTTTCCATGGGGCCCCCGGTCACCTTCCAACGAGGCAAGTGGGACCTGGGCACGGGGCTGGGCTGTTTGAGGCTGGGGTCCCCTTCCATTCTGACACCCCTCACTTCTACTTTAGGAATCCCAGCTTCCCTGAGGCTCCAGACTCTGGGCGTCCAGCCCCTTACTCAGCTGCATTCCTGGAGCTGCAGCCTGGGCCAGGGGGCTCAGGATACCCAGCGGCTGCACCCCCAGCACCCTTTGCCTCACACTTCCTCCAAGGGGGCCCCTTTCCCCTACCCTACCCTGGTCCTGGGGCTTACCTGGATGTGGGCTCCAAACCTATGTACTGAGCAATTGCTGGGCCCCTCTGCCTCCCTCCCTGTCTTCCATCACAAACCACAAACCTCCAGTTCCCCTGCACCCCAACCCAGCTACAGACCCCATAGCCTGCCACTTCCACTGGTCCCATCCCCCACACCAAATGGCAGCCTTGGGCCTCCCCCCACCACTTCACACTTTGATTTCACTGCCACCACCCATGGCTTCAAAGCTCTGGCTAAGCTGCTGGGAGTCCAGCTGGGGCCAGCTTCCCCTTCCCGGCTCTCACCTTAGTGTGAATGGAGGGAGGCTCTGCCTGGCCAAATGGGGCCAGTGACCATCATTCCCACCTTCTGGGCTTCACCCTTGGGCTTTGCAAGTTCTACCCCTATGCCCCAGTGCAAGCCACATCAGGCTGTTCTCAGGACCAGAGTATTTTTGTTAATAAAACTGAAAAGCCATCAGCGCTCTGGAACATTGGGCTAATGGTGTTTGGTTTTGTTGGTCCTGGGGCTTACCTGGATGTGGGCTCCAAACCTATGTACTTTGACAAGTCCCCCAGACTTGCCAGTTTCAAGCTGCTTAACTTTGTGCACTTAAATCAACCAACTCTGGGCTTGCTTCCTCATCTGGGAAATGGGGGAATCTGAATGTTTGGACACTTCATGTCTTGAGAATTAAATAAGGCTGCCTCTGGAACCCAGGCCTGGACCTAGTAACAATGAAGCCTTTGGGAAGTGGTCACTGTCACTGGATGGGGACCAATAGGCTCTGGCGCAGTGAAGGTCCTGACATCTACCCCAGGTCCCAGCCTGGGATTGCTGCTCATCCACAATCATGTCTGACACAAATTCAAAGACTATTTTTCTTCTTTTATTAGAATTTTTTCTCAAAATTTTTATCTAAAAACAAACAAAAAATAAAAGGAAGAAAGGAAAACAAAATATTATTGGAAACTTCACAATTCAAGTCAGGAGAAAGGAGAGAAAGAGCATGGAGCTGAGGCTCCAAGCCTCTCCAGACAAAGTCCTCACCCTCAAAGTGCCCTCTCTGTGGGGAGAGCAGAGCTGGGGACAGCCCCCCATGCCCAGCTTCCACATGGAGAGGAGGCTGGAGTCACAGTGGTCCAAGAGCAGAGGGGCTGGAGCCAGAGGGTCACAGGAAGTAGTCAGCCACAGGCTTCTTGGAGGGGATGCCGCGTGTCTCTTGGGGAGCGGCCTCAAAGATGATGAAATCTTTCTGGAGATGCTCATCCAGTTCCAAGATGGCAGCCACATTCCCACAGCTGGAAGTCGAGGACAGCACTGTTAAAGCAGTGGATCAACCTAGACCCCCAAGCCCCAGTGACCTCCCAGCACAGGCTGCTCACCGGTAGCAATAGTTGGGTGCCGACCACACAGTGAGCACAGTCTCATTGAAGTGCCACTTGTAACCTTCCATCACCAATTGGTGGGCACGGCAGATCATGTCAATGTCATTGGCTGCATTGAACTGGGCCACCACGTCACTGCCAAATAGGTAGCCAGCTCCACGAGGGCTCACACCCCAGCCTGTTGTGTCTGAGGCAAATGAAAGTATGGAGGGGAAGAGAGAGGGTGTCTTCAAGGCTTCTCTAGTTGCCCACTGCCCTTCTAAGGAGAATATCCTGTCCCCCTTCCCCAGTCAGGCCTGTGGGGCAAGAGCACAGGGCATAATGGAGTCTGAGGGGTTCTGGAGGACAGGACAGCAAATGGGGCAGATAAACTCCAAATAATTTCTTGATGGTTGGAGCTGTTTCATGGAGTGCCCATGTCGTTTACTGTCCAGACAGGCATACCACGCCGGCAGAGAAGGTGGGACCAAGGGCTGCCCCGGCTAGCAGTGGGGCAGCTGGTGTGGCAGTGAGGGAGTGGGGCTGTGTGTTACAGCAGGAGCCCTACTGGTATTTGGGAGATATGGCTTTCAATCTACAAGCCAGGGAACCCTGAAAAATAAGGGGCCCTCAGAGGGCTATCATTCTGAGAGTCTGACCTCTGCAAAAGCCCCTGCACATTCAGGGAGCTGTTGATTTGTCCCCAACAAGCCTCTGAGCTATGACATACATGCTCCAACCCCTTCTCTGAGCTCAAAGCACCAGCTCCCCACACTCCCCACTCCTCTCTCATGGGTGCTACTAGTGGGCAGGTCAAGCACAGACACCAGTGAAAACCAGCCCTGCTCTGCTCTTCCCCAAACTCACATGGTCTGGCTGTCCCCACCTTCAAGCACTTGCTTTAACACAGGACCTCCTTAAGTCTCTCACCAATTAAGGGTAGAGTCTACCTACCCCTGCCCTATCTGCTTGCCCTCACCTTCAGGGTCAGACCAGAGCAGGTCACACATGGGCCCATCATGCGGCACCTCCTGCTTTCGGTCAATTGTCCGGATCTGGTCCAGGGTCTGGATGGATGGGGAGAGGCCCCCATGTACACAAAAGATCTACAAAGACAACAAGAAAGGAGGGAGGGCTGGCTGAAGCCTGGCACCTTTCCCACCCCTCCCGACCCCTGGGGCCCTGTGGCCGGCCTACCTTGCCATCGATGATGGCTGATAGGCTGAGGTAGTCAAAAATCTCAGTGCAGTAGCGCCACACAGTCACTGAGCCATACTTGCGCAGGCACTCATCATAGAAGCCATAGACCTGGGTGATCTGGCGGCTCTCATGGTTGCCCCGGATCAGAGTGATGCGGTCAGGATAGCGAACCTGGAGGTAGCCACCAAGCCAGGGATGGGGGCTAGGCTCTGTCTCCTCCTCATAACCTTACCTGTCCTCTCCCAGACCTCCTCATATCTGCCAGCCCCACTCTATCCTTATCACCACTGCTCCAGCCCAGAATCACATCATCTCTTGCCTAAACCATGGTACATCCAGCTCAAAGACCCTCACTCCTCCTCAACAGGATGCAAAACTGACCCCACCCTATCAACTGTAAACCTACTGGCTCTAGCTCCCTTTTCACTTACCAGGTAGACCAAGCCCTTAACAAGATACTGATGGCCCTTTGTCATCTAGCTCCTTATACCCTCTCCCCCACCAGCAGATACTGTATTAACACAAGGGAACCTCTGTTTCCTTCCTATAATGCCACCCCTCTGACCTCATCCTCCAGGGGCCCAATCAGACACCCCCAAGTCAAGGAAACCTTCTCTGACTAGCCCCCACCAAGCTGCACGTGTCTGTCACGAGCAATACAGCCGACTTGGAGGGGAATAGAGCAGGAAAGGGCAGGAAGGCTGCAGACAGGTCAGGCCTGAGGTGGCCCAGTTTGGGCTCCGAAGCCAGGGGTTCCCACCTTAAGAGCCAACAGCAGGAGAAACGTTTCGACGCTGTAGAAACCACGATCCACAAAGTCCCCCATGAAGAGGTAGTTGGTCTCAGGGACGTCACCACCCACCTAAAAGGAGGGAGATTCTGCTTGGCCCTACACTGTCCTCTGCCCACTGTAGTGGTAGTCCATGTGCCAGTCAAGTTGAGGCCCCTCTCTCATAAAGGGCCCACCCACCTAACTAGCGGTTTCTTGCCCCAGTGCCACTCACCAAAATCAAAGCTTCCATTCTCAATTAAAGGGGTCTGCCAGTCACCCCCCCAACCTTGCCACCAGTCGCCTTTCCCAGTGTTCCCCACACTCACTCTGAACAGCTCCTTGAGGTCATAGAACTGTCCATGGATGTCACCGCATACCTGGGAAGTAAGGAGGAGGGTCAGCACTTAGAGTTGGAAAGCCTCTGCTCCTCTGCTTTCAAAACACCCACTGCTTTAGGAGAGGCTTATCCCTCTTGGCAAGCCTCTACTTCTCAGGGCTACTCTTGCACCCAAGTCAGCCTACTCTGGAATCATCCCCCAGCGCACTATGAATGTGAACTAGTCTGTGGGCAACAGCTAGAGCCAGGTCTTTCCAGCCATACCTGGAGGTCCTGGTTCCCTCCTCTCCCTACTCCCCTCAAGGAACCCAGAATAAAACATCTAATAATAAAGAAAGCATAGAAACATGTAGAGCAGAACCACTCACCAAATGAAGAGTGCTTCTGCTTTGCCTAAGAATATTCCCCTGACAAAAGATCCTTCCCGTAACATCCATGTCTCATAAAAGCTCCCTTGACAGTGGGGGAGGGGATACATGGCCTGTCAGGGATGAGGGGGCAGACTTCTAGAAACTGCAACGCTATAGAAAGTCCACGTGCCTAAAAGACCAAGCCAGGCTCTGGAGGGACAGAGGGTACTCACTGTGACTGGCGAGTCCACCCTCTGCACGTTGCTCTCCTCTACCAAGATCTCTCTGGAGACAGGAGAAGACCAGGGTCACCACAGGCAGCCCAATTCCCGACACTTCTTTGGAAGGGAGGGGAGGTATGAGGTGGTCCTTGAACCTCTAGGGGGCAGGAGTGAGGTGCACGATTTCCCCAGGATAGGCTGATTACAGCCTCCACTGCTCAACACCTTAGCATGGCTCCTCACTACCAAAAGGCCAAAAGCCCCAGCTCTTATTCCAGTGCTCCAAGCCTTTCCCAGCCTTGACACTCCCTGCTGTGCTCTTTCATACATTTAATACTCACTCCCAAAACACAGACTTTTCCCCCTTCTCCACAGAGCCCCCTGTTCATGCTGCTCCCTCAGTTTCGAGCACTCCCAGACCATGCCCCTGACTGTGCTCTTACCACCCCTCTCACCCCATCCCAGGGGCTTCCTCCCAGACACTCCAAAGGCATGGGGACAGGCAGACCAGTCTTCAGATGTACCTTCAAAATGATACATTGTTGCTACTTTTTCATTAATCTATTTAGAAGCAGCCAGGGTTTTGTTCTTCCATTTCTCCCCCAAGCCTATTTCTACTGGAGGGAGCATGACCGTAAAGTCACTTTGTCACCTAATTTAAGCAGTACCCTATTTCATTTTTGATAACAGCAGTAAACATTCCAGTTTACCCACGTGTTAACCTAACTGTAGTTGAGAGCTCTGCATGGATGATGCATGCAGTCAACCAACCACCCTCACAGAGGTGGGACCTGAACAAAGGCCACATGGCTCCAGTGTCTGGCTCTTTCATCAGGCTACTTGGACACAGGAGTACTGTCAGCACTTGCTCAACCTCTTTCTGCTGCTCGCCTCCCACTAGACTAGGAACTCCCTGAGTTCAGGAAACGGTGGTGTCACATATGGTCCTCAGGGTGCTCTGCAGACAAATATGGCCCAAAGGAGGTATGCACTGCCTTTCGGGAATGGGAGGAAGCACTGGCAGTGGTCCACAAAGCAACCAGGCTTCCCCACCTGTGCTGTACCTTGTGTTGAACACCCCTCCACTTGCCAGCTACTTATAATGTTTTAATGACCTTTCCAACTGACTTAGGGGTTCTTTTCATCCTCATCTGACAGACAAAGAAACCAAAGGTAAGAGAAAAAAGGGGCAAGATCAAGGTCACTGAGAGTGGCTGAATTGGAATTCAGGTAACCAATCTGCTGAGATTTTATGCCAGCCTCTTTCACAGACTCTAGGTCAAAACCCCACTTCAGCGCCAGCAACACACACCAGCGCTCTCGGGGCTCACAACCGCTCACCTTTACTTCCACAACGAAAATACTACCTTCAGGAAGTGCCCACCAAAGTGCCAGGCCCTGTCACTAGATATGCCCAATCTCATTTGAGCTCTATAATGATTTCAAAGATTTAGAGAGGTACTGACCAGGGTCATATTGTTTGTAGGTCACAAAGCTGGGATTCATAATAAAAACCACTTAATTCAAACCCTCTGCTCTTTTAACATGCTGTTATTTTTCAATATGAGTGAGTCCAGTTCACATACTTCAGGTCTCTGCAGATCTGAGTCTGTACCCCCTAAGCAAGCCAAAACTTCTGACACTACCAGCCTCAGCCCCGGCTCCTGGTGGGTCCTCAGAAGGCCAGGGGGAAGGTGCTAGAGTTGGTCCCTCTTCAGATTGGGTTTGGGATAACAGTGGCCAACTCAGGCCTTACCTGGTACCTCCCACCACCATCTGTGCTGGGCAGGAACTTGCCCATCTCTCAGTCCTTTATGGCTCCCTGCTACTTCTCACAGTCTAAATGTCTCTGCTTGCCTGTCAATGAGCATGGACTATGGTGAAGACCTAGATCCAAAATCAACCTCCCTTCCAACTAGCCGTGACACCATGCGCAAGACATTCTTTCCTCTGAGGCTTATTTTCCCCTTCTGTGAAATACCCCTGTACTACCAAGTCCACAGGGCTGCTGCAAAGAGCAATGGAAACTGAGTATGTAATTGCTCTGATATTCTGAAAACTCCACCATGCTATACAAGCACTACCTACACCACCAGACTGATTAAGGCCCTGTAGGGGAAACTAACAGGAAAAAAATGACATGCAGCGACTGGTTTAAGTTCCTAAAAATGCCAATCAAGAGGCAGCATGGATGACTAAAAACATCATGGAGTTGGTAAGTGAAATTTTACTGAGCCAGAAAAGCATGGAAAAGCCACAGACAAGCATTTAGAAAGGAGTTCTGCCTGTTTGCCAAACCCACGTAGGCTCTGTCTGGCTGTTACAGTTCTATGTGGGGCAAAACTAAGCAAAGAGCCTGTTGACCAAGAGTTCAAAACCCAGTTTTGTCACTTTCTCTGTGGGTGATCTCAGTCAAGTCACTAGGCCTCTAGGAGTCATGCCTTTCTGTTCTATAAAATGGAACACATAACTCCACCTGCCAAGACTGCGGTGGGGAAGCAATGGCATGTTTTTTGCCAGTACAAGGCCAGGCTAATAGTGGGCCTAGTGTTCAATAAATGTGGGGTATTTCTGCTTCCTCTTTTCCAATTCTCTAGCATAGTGGAAACCACAAATAGAACCTCAAAGGTGGCAGGTAATTAGTCTCCTTACTGTTGCCTACATATCTCACAGCCTCTACTCCTACTTGGAATGCCCTTCTTCACTGGCCCTGCTCCTATCAGCTATCCAAATCAATCTCACCTTCCAAGGCCGCCTTCTATTAGAACCTTCCCTGATGACATCAGTTCCCATCAGCACTGCCCTATTCCTATACAGTAACAGCAGTAACACCTGAGCACTGTCGAGCATTTACACTGTACCAAAGCACTGTGCTAAGCTCATCTCAAAAACTAACATACTAACTTTTCACAACCATCCTATTCAGTACTATTATTCCCAATTTACAGATGAAGAGACTGAGTCTCAGAGAAGGATCACCAACACAGCTAGTAAATGGCAGAGCTCAGACTCCAACCTAGAGCCATCACATTCTAAAGCTTGGGCTCTTAACCACTGTATCATTCTATTTCTCACAGAGCTCTCAGTTGGGTCTCCCCTCCTACTGCCGGGAGCCATGCTACTCAAGCTGTGTAGCAAAGCTCAGGCTGGAGGAAGACCCCCACAAATCAGGGGCCTTCGCAGCTGGCTCCCTCTATTACCCACCTTCATTTTGTTATTCTCCGTTATACTATTGGCTTTGTTTTTGCTTGCATTGTTGCCAAGGGTTAACTAACCTTTGCTGAGCAGTGTGGAAAGGATGAGAACATAAACTTCCCAAAAGCTTTTCAGGACAGTGTTCCTGAAGAATAGAACACGCAGGGGCCAAATGGCAATCTTAGCATAAAAGTACCGAAACCTGCTGTTAGTTAGTCAAACATTGACCACCCCATTTCCACTGAGAATGCCCCCATTGTTTACAATGCTAGTGAAACTAGTGATGGAAAGTTTTATAGAAAGAGTCATGAGAAAATATTGAATAGAATAACCCTGTTGACACTTAATTAATCATCTCATGTTTTCTTCCCTCTACTACTTCTATAGTTTGTTTTTCTTCTTTCCTAATCACAGCCCTTTACTAGAATTTGTGCCTCATACGTGAAATTACCAAGCACCATAATTTTCCAGGAAGTAAAGATACCTCAAAACAAGTGCTGGGCATAGAAGCCACGGAAAATAAATCTGCAAAGAAGTGAAAAACTAACCTTTTCAAAGAATATTACTTCTCTCTCACTTACCAGCTTTACATCTCCCTGTATGGCCCTGTAAGATGGCTGGTTAGCCAGAGACGGGTAAGATTCCTCAAGGGAGGAACAACCTAAGACAGGCACAGTCGCAGGGGGGCCATCAGGTGAGAAAAAGGGGGCCAACAGAGGTGAGGCTTAGAACCTCGCCCCCCCCAGTTTTGAGAGAAATCTTCTACACCTGTGGATGTTTTGTTGCCCTTGTTCAGCTTGGATTAAGACCTGGTCTCTGGGAACAAACCTGATCATCTACACCTGCCTTCTTACAGTTCTAAATCACGCTTTCTATCTATATCTTGCATTTACCTACTACATTAACATTTTATTAGATTCACATATAAAGTATAAAAATCAAATGAATAATCATACATCATATTTGACTTGACTGTTTATAGTTTAAGGTTTGTAGTTAAAACAGAAACAGTTTCTATAATATGCATGCCCTTGCATTGCTCACCATTTAAGAACTTGTTTAGTCCCTGCAGTAGTGGAGTCTTGGAGACCTGTGTAGGGTATGTAAGGGAGATTTTGGTATCCACACAGAAGAAAGAGAAATGTAGATAAAAAGGGGAAATTTGGTTTGCTGCCTACTGTGCCCTATAAAGGGGTATAAGGTGAAGATATGAGTTTATGATTTTAGATTGATTATAAATTTATTAAAGCCTCTAAGAATATTTTTGTGGGAAAGAATCCTAGCTAACTGTGGCACTAGGTGACCTGTATTTCACCCTGAGCTGATATAGACTCCAGAGTCGCTGCTACATACTGCACGCTCCTACAGTCACATGCACTTCTTAGAAACTGCGTTGCATAGAAATGTAAAACACAGTAGAGTACATGTTGACAGGAAAAGTTTTGGTCAAGGAACAGAAAAACAATCACCTTTCTAACGCTTGACCAGCCATGAATAGATTAGAAAGTAAAAGAAAGAAAAAAACCTTGCCTATACTTATTAACCAACTGCCTATACTAATTAATCATCAGAATAATAAAAAATAATCATATCCTTGTGCAAAATGGTATAAACAAAGCTGTCATCGGCACTTTGTCGAGAGATCACCTCCAGCTGACTCCGTGTCCTGTCTCTCCACATGCCGACTCCGTCCTGCACCTTCGGGCATCCCACCCCTAGGCTGGAGCTGGACTCCCGCATCCTATCATGCTTAATTCTACTCTGGATTATTCACTACCATTCTTTGGGATTTCAAACTGAGCATTAGAGTGATCCAACTCCGTGTTCTTGCATTATAGCCTGAAAAGCGGCAGGAAACAGAGAACTGGCTTCAGACTCCATCCCTCACATGCTGGTTGAGCCCTTATGTGTAAAATGCAGATACTACCACCTACTTGTAAGTGGAATTAAAATAATTTCATAAACCACAGAATACTTAGCTTTTCTGCCTTTAACTTTTATTCTTGCTGACACTTCTTTGTATCATCTTATTTTTCCAGACCTTTCCCCAAAGTTCAGTTCGTCCAAGAAGCCTTCTCTGTTGCTGACAGATAGGGTTGCTTCGCTGAGCTTCCTAAGTACTTTCTACAATTTTCTAACTCCACTGAAAACACATCATCTCAAATATTTAAGTGTCTTTATCCAGATGTGCCTTCAACCAAACAGGCTGGCTGCTCCTCAAGTAAAGTGGCCCTATTCTGCTCCTCTCTGGGAAAGCTTCCAGAATAGGCCAGGCCCAAAGTTCTTAGCTAGGTTTGTACCAGGTGGGAACCCCTGGGCAGCGGTCGGGCCGCCTTTCTTCCGGGCCACCTGGCTCACCTGGCTTTAGCGCACAGGGCCTTGACTTCGCTCTCCTTGATGAGCTCGCAGCGCCGCAGCTGCTCGATCTGCCGGTCCAGGTCGCTGATCTCCGCCATGGCCCACCCCCCGGCGCGGGTCAGAGCCGGGGCTACCGCCCCCTCCGCACCGCACAGGGGTCTCCTGAGGAAGGTGAAGATGAGCCCTCGGATTAATGTCCGTAGTGGGGGAACGGGGTATGGGAAATGGGTAACTTGATTCTGGAACTGGCCGGTCCCTTCCACCCACGCCTCCCCTCACATCGGCCCCCAGACCCCAGCGACCGACAGCCCTGGCTGCCCCACCCCTCGCTAACTCCCACTGAACCCCGCGGTCCCGCTCTAGGAATGGGTGGCCTAACGGGGCCTCAGACTATTACCGCCGCCGCGACTCCCGCTCCGGCTCTTGGGCTCCCTGCCTTCTTCCTCCACTCCGCTGTGCGCCACCGCCACTGCCACTTCTACTTCCGGCCCCGCGCGGAAGCAAAAGGACATTAGTTCCGCCACGCTCCGGATGTGGCGTCATACACACCTTCCCCTTCCCATGCTGTGCTCTTAACCCCACCTCTCAGGCAGTGGAAAAGAACCTAAGGAACGTGATGTTCTCCACTTGGGGGCGGAAGTTATTGTGGGTTAAGCGGATTGGCGCTGTGACGGCTGTTAAGACCCCTGTCCAGTCCCCTCCCATCGCAGGGGTACTGAAGCTAAGCTGACTCCACCTTGTAACTTCATGTTAAACGTATTTACCCATTTTAGTCAGCCTCCCCCATTACAATCCCTGAGGGATGGCACTTTAGTCCACCCTTGCAGCCCAGTGCTTATTAGAACGACCTGGCACAGTAGGCATACATATTTGTTCAATGGATGCAGGAAACCCAGTCCAAATCTCTTCCCATGGTCTCAGAGAAATCTTTATGTTGGACCTCCGAAGTTAGAGGCAGAAAGGAGTCTACCCTCCCCACACCAACCCTATGCCTCAGTTAGGATGACCTCCCTGATTCCAGAACGATCTCTTGACACCCTTCAGTTGCTTTCTGTTTGCAAGTTTTATTCCTGTTTTTTTCCAAGAGGAGAAACTGGGTCGAAGTGATTAAGTAACTTGTTCATGGTTACATAGCAAAGAATTTGGGGTTTGAATGAAGGTTGAAATTTGAACCCAGGAAAGCTGTGTTCAGCTCATTTCTCCACCTATCATACTTTCTAGTATTCACTTTGTCATTTTAGGAATTCCGTAACTTCCCAGCCGGCATTTAGGTCTTCTGCCTCCCTAGCCTTTTTTGCTGCAGAGAAGAAATGACTGGTTTTTAAGCAAACTTTGTTGTGTCTGACGCTGCACATGCTGCATTCTTCTTTAATATCCTTTTCTATTGACCTTTAGTTTTTGTTTCCTTTACTTCAGATTTTGTTTCATAGAGTTGAGTGAAGTCAGAGAAGTGAAGCCCAAGTTTGGAGGGTCATTAGAAGTGGGTTTGGTTTTGTATGTAGGCTACATTGCAAATGTGAAGAAAGGACCAAGTTATTAAGACTCCTAAAAGGTCCTGGGTAAGTCAGTTTCTATGTGGATCACTACAGGGACTCAAGAGGTCCAAAGAGATCAGAAAGGTCAAGATTATTATTATTTTCTCTATAGAGGGGAGCTCAGATAACAAAGGGCCCATAGCCAGAAACTTGGGAAGTGACAGGACTAACTTGGTCTCTGGTTAAAATTAGTGTCTTTAACAGCTTAAAAAACCTGAAGCAGTTACTTCTATCTCCCCAGCCTGGATGGGGGAAGGGGTCAAGGTTTTGCATAGGGGGTTAAGTGCAGGATGCTTATTCTGGCTTCATGGAAAGCAGCAGCTACAGATACTCAGTTCTTATCCTGGAATCTGAGCGCCATAGTTCTGTGTATCTGAGTTATTGAGGGGGTGTGTTGGAGATTCCAGGTTCTTCAAGGAGCACAGCTCAAAGACTAAGAAGCTGGTTCTAAACCCATCTTACATTAAGATGGGAAAACAGACAAGCTGAACAGTTATAGATTAAGGAGACAGGCATTAATAATCTTGAAACAGAGTGATCTCAGGCAATACAGTCTTATGCATGTAGTGGGAATAACAGCACCTATTCATGTAGAACACTTATTATGTTGCATAGCCCACAGCACTCAGAAAATGTTGGCTTTGGTCAGTGGCTGTTTTTGCCATAGGGCCGTACTGCACCCATGAGTTCAGGGTCTAAAAGGGGCTGAGCCTGCAGCCTCCTAAGACTAGCAGTTACAGAGGCACCACCCTGCTGTGAGCCTTATCAGATGCTGCTGGTAGAAGGGGGCAGAGCATTTGGGGATTGAAAGTAAAGTTTCACAACCTTTCCTCTTGAAGCCCTGGGCAAGTAGACTACAGAGCAGGAAGATCCTATTCTGCCCCTTCACCTTCTTCTTAACCAGGAAGGAAGAACACAAAAAAAAGGACTCAATTGTTCTGGGCTCTGCCACCTCCCCTGGCCCTCCCCTCCCCTGAACATCACAGACATGGACAACAGATTCCCCCTTAAATAGTTGTTTATTGGCAGTGGGCAGGAAAGAGCAATGGAGTTAGCATACATGGATACCACCACAAATCAATGTCACAAGGGAGGCAAAAGTGATGGAAAAGCAGCCTAGATCCCCGGATAAGGCCCCCCTCTTCAAGAATGTGGGAGGGGTTGGGGCCTGGAGTGTTGAGGGGGCAGCCTTAGAATACCTCCGCTTAGTAGGCATGGTTAGAGATGAAGAGGGACTCACTGGCTGCAGCCCCGGACTGACCACTTGGGGTATACTTTCCTTGGCAGGCGAGGCTGTTGGCCTAAGAGGGGAGAGGAGCCAGAGTGAGGTCTCTTTTCAGAATCCCGCCTATCCCACCACCCTCCCATCTCCTGCCACTTCCTTACCAGGGCTCGCTTGACATACTCCTCCTGGGCAGCCTTCAGGTTCTCCTTCTTTCCACCCCAGGCCTTCAGGGCAGAGGCCTGCAGGGCTCGGCCATAGGAGAAGGTCAGGGCCCATGGCTTCAGCAGGCGGCACTTGTTGATGGCATTGAGGTTGATGGATGCCTCTTCCTCACTCTGGCCTCCAGATAAGAAGGTGATCCCTAGAACAAGGGGTGAAATGGGGGTAAGGGGCTATAGTCAGAGACCCAGGGAATTGGTAGGAACCCCTAAAAGCTGACCTGAAAATCAGACCAAATAGGCATAAAGATTGTGGGTACAGTTCATCTGTCAGAGGTTGAGATGAGGGTGTGGGTCTCACCAGGAACAGCAGGGGGCACTGTGCGACGCAGTGCCGTGACGGTTGCCATGGCAATCTCCTCATGGGAAAATTTCTGGGTGCACGCATGGCCTGGGGTTACCATATTGGGCTTCAGCAAGGTGCCTTCCAGGTAGATGTGGTGGTCACTCAGAGCCTTATAGACAGCAGCCAGCACCTAGAGCAGGGCAAGACAAAGTGGGGTGAAGTGGGTGGACAGGAATCAGCCCCAGGGCCCTTGGCCCAGCTGCCCAGCCCACCACACTGCCCAGGGAGGGCAACCTACCTTCTCAGTTACGTACTGACAACGTTTCAAGTCATGGTCCCCATCAGGAAGGATCTCAGGCTCCACGATGGGCACAATGCCATTCTGTGGGGTGAGAGACAGGGTAGCTATAAGGTTTCTACCCCAGAGCCTTACCAAAGCTCTCCACAGCTATCAGCCAAGATCTCATCTCCATGATGATAGAAATGCATGGCTTCATAGCTTCTAGCAGGTAGTACGATAAGAAACTCCTTAGGCCCACCCATATAACCCTCATTCTGCCTCTCTGGGTCCTACACATGCCCCAGCTGGATGCTTGGTGAGGATCCAGAACAGTTGCCTTGGGTGAGGTAGTTATCCTGGCAGATGGGTGGCAGGCTAGCTGACGCTCAGGAACCAAATGAGATGGGACGCCTGTTGGGAACCTGTAGGCCCACCTGCTGGCAGATGCTGGCATAACGGGCCAGAACATTGGCGTTTTCCATGATGGCAAGGGACGAGGGGGTGTGTTCCCCAATCTTTAACACACAGCGCCACTTGGCAAAGTCTGCTCCATCCTTCTTATATTGGGCACAGCGTTCAGACAGCCCATCCAGCCCTGGAGAGAAGAGTCAAGAGCATGGCAGAGGAGGAGGTAGGTGGTTCCCACTCCCTCTTGGCACCCAGAGGCGTACCAACCTAGGTGGGCGGTCCATAGGGCAAGAAGCTGAACAGTTCTCACCTTGGGTGGTAGTCTCGCCATTTGTTCCCGCCAGGGGCACCACACCCTTGTCGACCTGTTGGGGTGGGAGCAACAATATGGGACAGAGGAAATGATCTCTAGTGTCCTTTCATCCTCAGTAGCCCCATTCTGCCCCCAACTTCACTGAATCTGTCAAGTGGCATCTCATGGTTTGTAAATGTTTTCACTTAGTTACAGTATCCAGTCTTAGAAAAGACAACACATGGGGTTATTATTTGGCAGAGGGCCTGGGGTCCTGCCACTTACTAGTTCAGTAAGCAAAATTTTCACTGCCTTGAACTTCTGGTTTTCCATCTGTACAATAAGGGTAATACCTTGCTCTCAGGACTGCAAGGGCTAAATATGCCCAGCAGGACCCCTAAGTTTTTAGCTTCTCTTACACATGCGTTAGAGGTGATCTGGGGCATGTTCCACCCAAGTCTCCAGGCTCCCAACCGAACATTCAGCCCCCAGCCTCTTACTCGGGACTTCGTTCCCCCAGACCCATCTCAAATCACACTCTGAGGCCCAGCCCCCTCACCTTGATGCCCACAACACCACCCTTAGATTTGATAACTTGGGGGAAGGGACGCCCATCATCTGTCTTCTGGTAGAGTGTCTCATGGAAAAGGATGACACCCCCAATGCAGGGATTCACACGGTCATCGGCAGTCAGCAGCAGCTGGCGGTAGAAGCGCCTGTTCTCCTCAGTGTTCTCAGTGCTGATGGACTGCAGCCGCTTGGCAATGCTCCCTGGAAGGGACCATCACACGGGAATGAGGGGATCAGCCTGTCACCCCTGTGCCCTTCTCCCTTGCCCATACCTGTGGACTCATCTGCAGCCAGGATGCCCTTGCCCAGAGCCACGATGCGGTGAGCTATGTCAGAGAGCTCCTTCTTCTGCTCTGGGGTCAGCGCTGGGTATTGATAAGGCATGGTGCTGGTTTGTTCCTTGGCAGAGGAGATAGACGGGGAGGACTCATCAGCTGGGTCTTCCTGTGTCTCCCAATGGGGAGGGCCCCTTGTCTGGAGGTCAGAGTAGAGGTTCCCTACCTCCTCTACTCCACACCCTGGCAGGTCTTGGAGCACTTCCTGTCCCCAGCTCTCCCCTTCACCCGACTTCCCTATACTAGGCCTGCCTCCTGTACCTTTCCTAACTCTGTCTGTTGCTGGGTGTTGCCCAGCTGAGGGTGGGGTTGCATACTGGCATCTGGGGTAAATGAATATGCCAGAGCCATAGACTGGTGGCTCATGTAGAAGCTGGGCCCTTCTGACTGGCGTCTTGCCATGGGGTCACCTTGCCTAGAGGCAAAATTGAATCAGAGTAATTTAGAGGTAGTGCATAAGGCAGAGGGCCCAACCCCCTCCTCTGAAAGGACCCAGAGAAGGGTAAGGTCTGTGTTTCAAGTCACACAGCAACTGAAGGGTCAGATCTGAGATTAGAACCCAGATCTGACTGCCAAACGAGTGTTCCTTCCAATCCACCCAAGATCCCAGGGATAGCCCAGTCTCTATCACCTCAAGGACATCCCAAGGTCAGGCTTCTCCTACCAGGGTCAGCAGGAGGGCATTAGGAAAATGGTGTTAGGAAAAAGATGGGAGGGTAATCAGAAGCTCAGGAAAGGGCAGCAGAGGAGGCCCAGCCCGAGGTGGAAGAAAGCGGTGAGGTTTGCCAATCTCACTGTTCATACATGGTAAGAGAATGTGGAGGAGAGGTAAGCGCCCCACCCCTGCCCCTGAAAAATGTCTGCTCGCACGGCTGTAGCTGTTCCAGACTCAGAATCAAGGTTACCCAATAAGGAAAGACAGGGAAACTGTTAATGGGGCATCAGGTGCTGCCAAGGGGTTTCCCCTGCTAGCCAGGGGTGCCCGTCTTCCAGGGTAGGTAGGAACCACCAGCTTTCGGGAACCCTGAGAAAGTATATGAGCTGGTCTCTACCCCTCCCTGCCTCTTAGGATCCCTGCAGAGGCAGAGGCCATAATCCTTTGCACCCGGGGTTCCAGCAAGAAAAGGAGAGAGAATGGCTCTTCATCTCGGTCCTGCTTCCTCCCCCGCCATGACTCAGCGCGCGGAGCCGCTGCACTGTGTAGCAAACCGAAGGAGCTCAAGCTGGACTCGAAGCATGTGGGTGAGTGGGTTGGGGTGATGCTGGGATAGGGTTGGGGGGGCTTCCCGTTGACACCCGACCCGACACTATCCCCAGGATCCTTCTCCACGGTTCCTGACCCTCACACATGGCATGGAGCGCTCACCTGGCACGGGAGAGGGGCGGGTGTGCGGGGCTCAGCGGTGGAGGGCAGCGGGCTGTTGAGTGGACCGAGGGCCCGAACGCGGCAGTCGTCACCAGAACCCCGGTTCTGCGGCGCGTTCCAGGACGAACGCTGCCTATTGTGCTCCGGAGAGGCGGCGCAGGGGGCGGGCAAGAGAGAAGTGGTGCCTGGCCTTATAAAGGCACCGCTCCACCCTCCACCAGATTTTTTTCCCTTACAGGGGGCCGAAGGCGCCCCAGCGTCCAATTGCAGAAGAGGAACTGTGGGAGAGGCCGCCCCCGAAAGGCGAAGCCCTGAGGCGGCGCTTGGGCGGGAATAGTGCAGCGAGAACTCGATCGCTCCTGGTCACCCTCCACACCCGACACTCGGACGTGACTCAGGCCACATTCCGCAGGTCGCCTGGACCCTCCCCTCCGTCTTCCTTTACCCCCAGCCTGGCGCGCTTTGGGGGCCGTGACTCAGCCGAAATTTGGCACTGGAGGAGATGGGGATGGGGTGGAGGAAACGCGGATGATAGGGCGCAAAGAGACGGAAGCTCAGCCTCACTCTCAAGCCCCGTCCCGCGGCCGGGGTAGCCCCAGCTTCCGGCCTGCGCTGATGCAGCGTGTGTCACGCTGTAACAGAACCCAGATGTCGGGGGTCCCCCGGCCTCGTCCGAAGGCTGGACTTGCGGACTACGGGACGAGGAGCCGCACATCCTTGTGTCACCAGCCCAGGCAGAAGAGAGGCGGAGGACAAGGCGGCGAGTGGATTCACAGGGAGCTCCGCAGGAAAAGTGGTCAGGCTGGCAGGGGCGGAGGCGAGGCGGCAGCGATTCCGGATGTCGCGCCTGGGCCCCAAGGGCAGCCTTGACCGCGCGCACGCGCTCTCCGCCTGGGCTGGCGGGCACTTGCCTGAAGCCCCAGCAGCCACCGAAAACCAGATTACACGCAAACTGGCCGCCCCAGATTTGCTCCGCCCAAGCAAATCTGGGAATGCGAGGCCAGAGCCCCTGCGAAACACCTTCCTTGGATCTGATTTCCCGCTCCAAAATAAAATCCGTCCCTGAGGTGGTCATCCTTCCAGATACATTCCGAGCCTCTATCCCAACCCGCCAAGTCTCTTCTAATCCCGACCCTTTCGGCCCAACCCAACCCCCTCCGTCCTGCTGATGCCCACCTGCGAGGAGGCTGAAGGAGCGGGCAAAGCCTGGTCAGCAGCAAGTGATCCAGGTCACTCCAGGGCTGGGTTATAAGGCAGCTTCTGCCCTCCCCGCAACCAATGTCCCCAGCCTTCTCCAGTGACCCCTGCCCTTTCCTCAAGGCAGATCCCCTGGCAGGGACCTATATTTAGGGAAACTTGAAGCGCCTGACATTCACTCCAGAGTAGGGCCTAAAGTGAAGGAAGGTGAAGGAAGATGCCCTATTTTGGGAGTAGAGGGAGGGCCCTCTGCCCACTCACCAGTACCTCAGGAAATTTCTTCTTGGAAATTCAGACTGAGGCCCTCAAAACAGTAGTCAAGGGATAAAAATATTTGGACAAGGATTCGTGGGGACGGAAGTGGGGGGTAAAGGTACTCAGATCTATGGCCCTCTCTACCTCTTCCTCTGATCCTCCCTCCCAACTCGGCCTTTGCTGTGGCTGTTGATTCTCTGGAGCCCATTTCTTTAGACGGAGAGTAGATGCAGGCACTCCACTCATACCTGGAAATAACTAAAGTCCGTTGATGGGGTGTGGCTGGGGTACCCCTATATCCTGATACTCAAAGCCCAAGTTTGTCCATGATGCTGTCTGTGGTGAGCAGTGTCCCCACCCTCACCTTCAAATATAACAGTTTACTTAGGGAGGGGAAAGGCAGGCAGAGGCCCTCCTAGAGCACTAGCCTCTTTCTCTTTTGGCCCAACAAAGGAGCTGAGACCAGCTGGCCAAAGGCTGAGTCTACTCTGCAGGGAGCCAGGCTCTCCATTGCTGGTTCCCAGGCTGGTGAGCTGGGCAGGCCATTTGCAGTTCCAATGCCCTGGAGAAAGGTGTCCTGAGGCCCCTCAGGGAAGAAGACATGTTGGCCCTGGGGGCTGGCCACTCCCCAAAGGGCAGGGACTCTGGGTCCTCATCGGAGCTTGATCTCAAAGCAGAGACAATTGAGGCTCTGGCAGTCAGGCAGCTGGCACGCACAGGCACAGTCGCAGAGTGGGCAGCAGCGGGGGCAGGGAGGGGCCCAATCCTGAGAGAAAGAGGAAGGAGTGAGGGAAGTGAGCAGAAGGAATAGGGACCAAAGTTTGCAGCAGGTTCCCTCTCTGGGGAGAAGGGAACAGAATGGCCTGGGAAGTCCCACTTGCCCAGGGAACAGAGGGTACCATCCACCATTCTAGGGGATAAATCAATTCCCTGTGCTGTTGAGAAATCAGCCCAGACAATGTTCCAAACAGTTGGGTTCAGGAGCTGGAAGAAATTATTCAGGAGGTTCTTTCTTTCTTCCCATTTTATAGGCAAGGAGACTGAGGACCAGAGATGAACTGGCCTTGGTCCCATGCTAGGTCCCAACATTTAGCTCAAATGTGATTCTACTATATTCTGGGGCCTCATGCAACTGAAAGTGAGTAGACAGGGAAGGCATACACATATTGTCTTGGTTTTAAATGGATTTCTTCCTTGGCATGTGAACAAACTGAAGGGTCTCATTAATCATTTTCTAAGCACCTACTCTGTGCAAGGCATTCATGAATGATTTGAAAAAAAACTTTCTAATTTTCTTTAAAAATGGTAATTTGCATATTTTAAAAAATCTCTTAAAGTTTTATAAAGTTACATCTCTTATTTATCAGAACCTCGAGTAAGGGGTCTTCTTTACAAAAAAGGAAATGGAGGCTCAGTCACTGAGGGGAGTTAATTGGCCAAAGGAATACACCTAGGAATAAGTGGGTCTGAGGTTTGGGTCCTGAGCTCCTCACTACCCCACTGCCTCCCAGGGCCAGGAATATCAGCTTCTTTCCGAGTCTGCTAGGGAAGGGACAGTTCATTTCATATTTCCATTGAGCTTAGCAGGGGACTCAGGGTCAGCAGGTATGTGAGATACAGATGAATGTTAAATAAATGGATGAATCAAAGACTATAATTTTTCCCTCTTTGGGCAAAGAAGAAAGAAGGGGGCTTCTCAACTCCCAGGAGAAGCAGAGGGCCTGTCTCTTAGGGAATACGAATGGCATGTCCTTAGAAACAGGAAGGGAGAAAGAACCCTCTCCAGACCACTCCTCTCCGACCTGGGACAACAATGATCTGTGACTGCTTCACACATGGACTGGGGTGAGGCCAAGTGGCTTGAGTGGGACACACCCAAAATGTGACAGAAGATTGGCTCCTTGAGGCTGAGGCAGAGCTAGTGACAGTCACAGTTGCACAGCTCAATCAGACACCGGGCCAAGCCAGGAATAGGGGAATGACCTTTTGAACAGCTGAGGTTTCGGGGTACAGCATCAAATGACTGGTAGGATAAGGTATCACTAGGGGCCTCAGCAAGGGGAAGAGATCTGCAGGGAGTGGGGTCTGAACTGGGTTGGTGCTACTGCCAACAGAACTCTCTCTCAAGGAGGAGCCATGTCAAGTGTCATGGTGAAAGGGAGAGCAAAGTGATTTCCTTGTGTTTGATAAGGGTGTGGTTTGGGGTGTCCCTGGGGAGTCCCAGTCTGGACATGAAGTTGGCTCTGTGGGGTTTTTGAGGACCACACCATCCTTCCGTGTGCAGAACTGGTGGCTGAGAGACTCCAGTGCCCTGCCCTCAGAGAACAGAGCATTAAGTCATTCAGGGCTCTATCTGCTGAAAGGGTTTAGATCTAGTCATTAATAGCTGGCTAATGGATTTCTTTACTTTTAAGCAGCCATAAGGCTTCTGGAAGGAATCTGCTATTTCAATACATTAAATAAGGACTCCACAGACTGTTAACCCCTCTGTTTCTGTAGGCTCTGAAGTTTTTCACTCTGATTTTGTGAAGGCCAATTGTCTTTACTTGTGAGAGCTCAGTCCAGATTTGAATCTAATTCAGGTCCATGTCTGGCAGATTCACATTTTGATCCTCAGTTTCCTCATCTCTGAAACAAATTTAACACCTACCTGATAGAATCATTGTGGGGAATCACTGGAAAAAACTAAGGCCCAGTGCCTGGCACCTGGTGGGCTCTCAGTAAAAGGGAGCTATTCTTGTCACAGCACTCTTTCTTAAAAGTAGTTTTTAGTAGTAGTTCTTAATCCTGGTGTGCATCAAAATTATGTGAGAACTTATTAAAAATTCTAGTCCCATCCCAGACCTACTGAGTGTGGGGCCTAGATGCTCAGCTTTCCATTTAAGCCTAATACATGTCTCTTATCACATGCAGGGCTGAAAACCAACCATTGTACTATATTGCACAATTTCTCACACTCTATTATAATTGCTTACTTATTTCTTTCTATCCTTCACCAGAATGTGAGCCTTCTGAAGGCTGGGACCAGCTCTTGTTTTCAGTGCAGTGCCTTGATAGTACTCCATAAATCTTTGGTAAGTGAATAAATAAGTGAATGAATTAATTAGATCCTCACAACAGCTAGATCCATGTTTGTGAAAGAAGCAGAGCAGGGAAGTTTCTCCTCCAGAGAAGAAGAGAAACCTGGGTTTGTGTCCTGACCCAGGCCTCAGGCAAGTCACTCAAACCTCTGTAAGCCTCAGTTTCTACAGCTGTGAAGTAGGCAAGAGCTTTGTAATATTTCTGGCTGTTACTGTTACTATTAGGAAACTGAAGGACAGAAAGACTTTGATGTACTTTGTGGAAAGATAGATCAAGGACAGACTGACTCTGCTCCACCCTCTGCCATTTTAGAATCCTTCCTGGCTCTGGCAGAAGCCAGATAGGATCAGTCCTTGAGGTTCTTTGGAGGAACCTGAAGCCCTTGGGCATGGGAGGTTGGGGATGGGAGGAGCCAGGCCCTCCAGACAGTGTACCTCCCTCCCTCCTCACCCTCAAGGAGGAGGGGCCCTTGACTATCCCTTTGCTGTGGACAGAAGGGGAAGGGGGCAGCATCCTCAACAGGGGATGAGAAATCATTTTGTAATTGAACATTTCCTATAAAGCACAAGTCTTTAAGGACCTAGGTCTTCTTCTTTTTCCCATTTGCTCTTTAGCCCAGCCCTGCCCACACCTATCCCTCCTTAACCCTAGTACCCTGGGAAAACCAGAAGTAGATTATTTGAAAGAGGAGAGCTCCTTGCCCCATAATTTAGAAACACAGAACATCTTTCCCCCAGGAATTTGACCAAATACAGTCAGCCCAAGTTCTGAATTTATCTTTATCCTTACTCCTCCTTCCTATTGAAGGTCACCACTTCAAGGGGAGGATCTTTGCTGTCTAAATCTCTGAGCCCGAAATAGGAAGGTAGTCAATTACACTTAACATCTTTAAACCTGTATATGCAAAAATGACCTGTCCTTTCTGAGCCAGACTTCTCCCTTAGGATTCTGTTTCAACACACTAGTGACTCAACTTCCCTAAGCCAATTTATTCCCCTGAAACAGAGAATAAAAATACTTAGCTGTCTGCATGTACAGACATGGATAGGTGGGCAAGGCATGATATCAAGTAGCAGTTGTGATAAAATAGTATGGGATGACCCCATTTTTTACCAAATAATAGTAAACTACAGCAGCAATATACTGTCTATTTCACTTATGAGTGACATACACAAAATGCAGCAACCTGAGTTACAGAGTGACATATTTCTATGTATTTCTACATGTGTACTTTGTAATCAATGCTTTTTGTTACCAGAAAAAAATATATATAGGCTTTATAAAGTACCCACCTCCCAGGGTTGCTGAGAAAATAATAATGTCAATAAAGTAGCAGTATTTGGAACATAGTATTCACTCAATGAACAGAAGGAGCTGTGTGACAGCATCTGTTTTTTCTTTTAACTACCATTTTCAGAAGTGATTATGTGGCCTACATGTGACACACATTTCTCCAGCTGTTTTCTTTTCTCCAAGTAGCTTTCATCAACAGAAAGTATCTGATATGGTGTTTATGTTAGTTTGGGCTTTTTCCACCTGATCCAGTACCTGGAACTAGACCAAGTGCTTGGCCTGGAGTAAGTGCTCAGTACAACATGCTGTTGAACAAAAAGAATATTGTACAGATAGTGCCTAGAGAGGGGCTGAGGGGGTCAGAGGATAGGATGAGAACTCACAGCTTCAGTGGGCTGGGGGCAGCAGGCATCCAGGCAGTTGGCTGGGCTAGGCAGAGGGAAGTTGCAGGCTTCCACACAGGTCCAGCAACAGTCCTGGGGCCTAGAGACGCCTTGCTTCCTGCAGAGAGAGCTGCAGTCTGTGCAGCAGCTCTGGGCCTAGGAGATGACAGGGTTCAGGAACTCACCCAGTTAGCAGGTAGCAACAAAGTTTTGGGAGAGGGGCAGGAGAAGGTTCTCCTGGGGATGGGAGGGGAGGGACTTCCTGGTCTCACAAAAGGAATAGATGTGGGGGGTAAATGGCAAAGGAGTGTCAAAGTAAGGCACGCACATGAGGGACAGACTGACTGGGTCCCTTTCCCCAGAGCTCACCCTTTAGCCCTTACCCAGGCCCCTCACCAGCAGGCAGCGCCTAGTCAGTAGCACTAGGCAGAGCAGCATCAAATAGATGCCCACAGCGATGAAGACGATGGCAGGGATGGGGAGCAGCAGGGAAGGACTGCTGACAGGAGCCGGGGTTGTATTCAGCAGGCTAGAGGATTCCTGGATGAGCACAGGGGGGAAGCGGTGAGAAAGAGGTGGGGACAGGCTGTAGGAATACAAAAATAGCAGAAGGGACACCAGAGGTGGCTGGGAAAAGGGGAGGAACAGCCACCAAATGATGGGAAGAGAGCCAATAGGACTATGCTATCTTGTTCCCCACACCTGCCTCTCATCTGCACTTCAACATCATCAAGGACCTGTTGACCATTGTAGGCTTTTCCAGACCTTCCTAGACCTTTTCTAGACATACTGATTTTCCTTTCAGAATACCTTTCCAAATGGATCAACTGTCTGCTTCCACTATACTACTTTATCATCCCTCCGCCCACATTACTGGCCCATCTTTGAGCCTGCAGTTTTGCTCCTTTTCACACCAGTTGTCCCTGTGAGTCCCTCCCTTCCTTATAACCCATCAGTGGCTCCACTAACTCAGTCCAAACTTCTTATCTCAGTGACAAAGGCCCTGATATAGCCTTGCCTACCCCTCCTTCCCTCCCCCTGGACATGCCATTTATCCTGAAGTCCCAGCCATTCCCCAAACGCCCAATCCTCTCTCTCACCACCAAGTCTCTGCCCATGCTGTTCCAATGCCTGGGATGGCTTTTCTCCTTGATTACTTGGCAAACTCCTCATCTTGCCAGGAAGAACAGGAATGTGCCCTCCCGTGGAAAGTCCATCCCTGGAACTCTCTCACAGCTCTTGTCCTGAACTGGAAGGGTCTATGCTGGGTAAAGAGCCCCCTCTCCAGTCCGGGCTCGAAGTCAGGGTGAGGGGGCCGCTCCAGAGAGAGTAAGGGGCCTAGAACTCACGTCCATGAGGCAGGACAGGTCAGTCAGTCCAGGACCTGCAGAGGAAAAAAAGTCCTAGGCCTCAGAAACTGGAGGGGCCATTGGACTAGGGTGCCCACTCTCCTCTTCCCATTCCCCGTTTGGAGAAACTGAGGCCTAACGATGCCCCTAGTCAGGACAGCAGGGATGGCGAGGGGATATTCCCAGGATTCCGGACGGCGAGTCCCTCGCAGGCCCCACTTCGGTCCAGGCCACACCTCTCTTCTGCCTGCATACCCCGGCATCCTCCGGCGACCCATCCCCATCACCTGCACCCACCCGGCCACAGTTTGCGGATTCCGTGCCGCACTCCTCGAATCGGCGGCGGTGGCTGCACAGCTCCGAAGCCTCCCGCCGCTTCTGGCTGTTGCCATGGGGATCAGAGCGTTAGTGTTACGGCGGCCGCCGAGGCCCAACCTCTTCCTCTACGCCTCGCTTCCCCTATCCTCTCTTCCGCCTCCAGCAGTTCTTAGTCGCGGTCAACCGGGCGTTCCTCCAGTCCCTGAACGGAAGTGGTGAATTTCCGCTGCCACCTACCAGGTCGGATCTTCATCGTGTGCTGGGACCTGCGGCGCTGCAAAGGGAAGACTGAACCCTTGGGATACACCTCCAATCTGCTGTTGACTTCGGCCAAGTCACTAAGCATCGCAGAGTCCATTTCCTCCTCTGTAAATCGGGGAACCGCCTGCCTCACAGGGATACTGTAAAACCCAAAACTTCTTGCTAATTGTGTATAATTGTTCTCAATATTTTTTCAACCTGGCTCCACTCTTTTTATTGACAGTGCCCCAATTTAAGACAATTTGCTTTCTTCAACGTGAACATCACTGTCAAAGTGATTTCCTCCTACCCCATCAGCTTCCAGGGGTTCCCCACTGTCTCCAGTATAAAGCCCAAATACTTTAGCCAGCCGTCTACACCATCCACTCTGGGCCCCGCCTATCTTCTGGTTAACATAGGACACTGGGTGCCAAGCAGCGCTCTAGGCTCTGGGTCTCTAGCAGAGAATAAAGCAGACAAATTCTCTGCCCTGGTGTTGCTTGCACTCCACTGGCGCAGAGGGAACAGGTAATAAGTTAACAAGTAAATATGATTGCTTTTATCAGTTCTGCGGTAGGATCTGTTCAAGGTTCCTAAACCAGTGCATAGGGACTCACAACTCCACACCTTTTCAGATGCTGTTCCCTCTGCCTAGAACAACCTTCCCCTGTTTCCACCATGATTAACTCCTTCCTCATCCTTCCAGCCTCTGATCAGTTTTGCCTTAGGAAGGTCTTCCTGCTAACCTCAAGCAGAGGTGGCTGCCTTAGGCACCATGCACACACTGTTGTACATACATAGTATTTGAATTCTCTACTTTAGTTTCTGACTCCCCCTTTAGACTGTGAGTGCCTGGGTCTGATTCCTCTCCATACCGCTAACCCTAGTAGTTGGCCTGGCCTTGGGGGCCTTGAGTAAGTACTTGCTGATTCTAAGAATGAATCAAATACAATGGTGTCCACCAATGAAGTATTATCCAGATTGGTTCTCAAGACACTCAGACCTCCCACTTTCATTCCTTACCTTTTTGGCTGTACACGCACATGCTTAAATACGTGCATACTCACAAAAGCACACCTCCCTCATAGAGGCCTCAAACTTCATCCATTTCATCCAGTCACTGCATGCTGGCATGTACGCTGAAAGCAGTGCTCCTGTATACATACTTTTGTCCATTTTCTCCACCCTGATGTGCCTCACCACAGCTGCTACCCCTGTGGGTTTCCTACACCATGAGGCAGCCACAGAAATTGCTAGAGTCTGAGTCCCTGGTTCTCCAATCTCCTTTTTCCTTTTCAACCATACTGAATGGGTGTCAGCCCTCTGCCACCCTAAGTCCCCTCAGAAGGAGTTTTAACCTCAGAAAACTGGAGTCTAGCTGTCCCCAGTGTCACCAATGCTGGTTCCAAGGCAAGGTCAGATCACCTTCTTGGGGCCCCCTTCTTGTCTGTCCCATCTTATATGTAGGATCCTGAGAACCAAGGTGAGTCTAGTTCTCACTTTAGTCCTCCCCTCTCTCCAGCTCTTGCCAACAGAGAGACATCAGCCTTGGCAAGGCCTTTGGACACATCCATGGCCTGCAGCGGTCAGACTCACCAGTGAGGGTATTCTGTTCCTACCATGGGCTCATACATGATGCAGCATGGTGGACAGTGCACCAGGCCTGCTCACTGCAAGGCAAGCCAGTAGGAGGGGTGTTGTATGAACCCCAATTTGCCAGGGCCCTCCGCTACCCACATCACACCACTTGTTGGAGGCAGGGAGAAACTGACTTCACAAGAGCCAAATATTCCTAAGGTCCTCCTCTACCTATACTTCAAAGCTGAAGATGTCAGATATTATCGCATATGCTTTGCACTGCTCATACAAAAGAGAGAAAAGAATCATGTACTCCCAATCATCGTGAGGTGGATAGGAGAACTGAGATGCAGGGAAAGCCCAGAAGATGAAAGAAATCTCAGCAGGCCCAGGCTTGGGTGTGGGAAGGGAACCTGGCAGTTCTGATTTTGATCTAATATTTTCAGCCCCCTCATATAGACTTCAGACAATACAGCCTCCCAGAGACTAAGAGGAGGTTCACCAGGCCTATGTTTCAGTAATTACACAGGGGGAATAAGAAGCTAAGACAAACTGAGCTGGAGCAAACACGAAGAGAGGCCTCTTTACAAACTATCTTTTTTACTCCTAACAGTAGCCTGAGTAGCAGAAACCATTATTTCCATTTTATAGGTGGAAAAGAATTATACCCAGTTGAAAAAGAATTTTAGGACCGGGCACCATCTAGGTTTGAACTCTAGTTCTGCCACTGTGTGTCTGCGATCTTGGGTAAGTCAGCTGACCTCCCTGTCTCATCCTGTCTTCCTCATCTGGATAGTAGGAATTACCTAAAAGACTGGCTGGGCTTGTGGTGGTAAGAGAAGATATATGTACAGAGCCTGGCATAGACCAAGGGCTCATTAAAGAATATAATGCCACCAGTTAATTCATTAATAAAGGAATATCACAATGAATATTGACAGTGCGCCACACAAGAACTGTGATTTCCACATCTTACTCAATCACCCCAGCAGCCCCATGGAGAGGACCTGCTCATCCACATTTTATAGATAAGAAGTCCAAGACTCAGAGGAGTTAAATCACTTGCACAAGTTCTCCTGGCTAGTGAGTGACAAGACTAGAATTTGAACCCAGGTAATGGGATTTGGTGTGTATACAATTGAGGCTTAAAGAGGTTCTGACACTTCCCAAGGTCACACAGCCAGTCTATGGAAAAACAAAGGGCCTGGACCCTTAGTTTTCTCACTCTAACTCAGCTGTTGTGCCCCTCAGCCTTTTTTATAGTACAGATAAATGGTGGGACTGGACTTGGTTGGAACAGTATCTAACCTGAGACAGGTACAATAAAGCCCTAAATAATAGATGCGCTGGCATGCTAAGGAGGACTCTGCCCAGAGTGGTAGGGGAGAATTGAACCCTTCCCTGATTATCACATGGGAAACAGGCCACTTCTGGCTGCTTATTGTTTACTTATTCATAGCCATTGATGGTATCACCCCTGCACACCTCCGCAGGGCCAAGGCAGCGCTGCACCCTGGTAAAGAGGATGCGCAAGGCAGTGTTTGGCTGGAGGATCTTGAAGTAGCAGAAAACGGTAAACTCCAGGCCCAGTGTGAATTATGTGACAGCTCTGTGAGGACCACTTGGGGGTGAGAGACTCACCTGGGGAGCCAGGCTGGGGCGGGAAGGCAGCAGCCAAAATCGTGCGAAGCTGAATGGGCACCCAGGGAGGGCCACCACCCGCTGCCTTCTTCACAGGGATGCCACCAGCTGCCTTTGGAGGCCTGTGTAGCCAGGGGCTGCAGCCCCATGCCAGGACTGGCTGACCTTGTCTCCCTTCCTCCATGAGGTATTCAGGCACCCCTAGAAAGCCCAGACAAGGAACTACGGTGTGTGGAATGCATCCGGTCTTGGGTTTATGTCAGATGGTACACAGATCAGAAAGAACACATGCACACAGGAAAGCTACTCTCTTTCCAATTCCCTTTCAACACTTCTGTGTATTCCAGGAGAAAGTCTCATTGCTGCCAGAAACCCTTTAACACCTTTCTATCCATGCTTATCTTGTCTTTAACAAGAGAGAGCAGACCTGAAGCTCAGAATTCAGGGCAGGTGATAGTATCTAGCTACAATGTTAGAACAAATTTTTTTCACTTTATTTTTTGTTACTTTCTATGTACAGCAAGTGATGCTGGTTTTCTATTTTCAGTAATGGGAAGTTTCCTTTTAAAATACATGGTTCAATGTAGGACTCTGGGAAGGAGACTACTAGGTTCCAATCCCAGCTGTGCCATTTAATACCTGTGCAACCTTGGGCAAGTCACATAACCTTTCTGTGCCTCAATTCCCTCATCTGTAAAGGGAAAGTAATAATGGCACCTCTGGCTTTATGAGTATTATATTAGTTAATATATGTAAAGGGCATAGGTTTGTCCTAACATCTAGTATATGCTGTATAAGTGTTCACTATTATTAGGTCAAATAGGGCAAAAGAACAACAATCCCCCCACCAAAAAACACGAAAAACAGAAACTCTCCGCAAAATTCCTGAGATTTAGAGAGCACTTCTGTGAACCAATCCCACTATTTTCTATGTGAGGAAACAAAGCTTTGGAGAAGATAATTAAGTGACTGCGCTAAGATCTTGGTAGGTCTCTGGATTCTTAACCCATTTACCAGCGATTTCAATCTTTGATAATTAATATAACCTCTCAGCCTTGGCTTATTCATCTGCAGAAAGGAACTCATACTATTTCATTGGATCTTGGGATGGTGTATGTAAAGGTGGCTCAGAGAATGAGTTCTTATGGTCTCTAATGTAGTAGTATAGCCCCCCCCAGGGGACAGAAATAGGTTCTTAGTGGGTGAAAAAAATCTTACAATTTTTAATATATAAAGCAGAGTTATATGGTATATATGTGTTACCAAAATTTTATGAGGAGTAGCAATTAGGAAACAAAAGGTCTAAAAAAGGCTCCTTAGGGGAGCAATAATGAAAAAAGAGTTAAGAAACACCGTTCTAAACGAAGGTTTGTCTAACAAGTGGGTTGTGAAATCAGCTTAATGGGTCATGATCAGCATTTGGGGAGAAGAAATGATATAGAAAATGCCACCATGCACCACACATAATAAAGATCAGTAAGTGTTGGGAGAAAGTTTGGTTCAGTTCAGCCTGTGTGTGCATGTGCTGACTCATGAAATAAAAGATATTTCTTTTTTTATGTTAAAAAAGTTGAAAGTCATTGCTCTAAACCACTACTTTTCTTTTTTCTCCCCTCATCCTTTATCTCTCAGACAAGTCCATGCAGTCTTGGTCTGTTCTGCTCTAAACAGAAAGAACTGGATAAGGAAAGAAAGAAATGTAGGACAGAGTCCAGATTCCAATGAACCTGGTGCCTGACCTTTATCAGCTTATGGTCCAGATTCTTCCCTTCCCCTTCTATATTCCCAGGTAAGCCACAGGGACAGAGGAAAGTGACTGTCCCTCAGCACCAGAGGAGAGAATGCCTCCCACTTTGCTGCCTCTCTCATTCCTTCCTCTGCCTCCCCCTTTCCTCCTCTCCCCTCTTCTCCCAGCTTGGAAGGCGGAGTCATGCTGACCCAAGTCTAAGTCCTAGCTCTGCCATTTACTCTGCAGCCCTGGGGCAAGTCATTTAACTTCTCCAGCCTAGTTTTCTCAGCTGGAGAACTGGGGAGGTTATTCATAAGGTTGTAGTGAAGCTTAAATGAGAGAGTGTATAGAAAGTGTGTTAGTGTTTTGGCATCGGTATGTTGTGGATGCTCGTAATAAGCCAACAGGTCCTGAACCCTGTGCACAGTAGTTTCTATACCTTATCTCTATTTAATCCTCGAAATAAGTTTACACGGGAGCTGGGAAGGTAACAGGGAGAATCTAGGCAGGCTGCTTGCTTTCAAACTTCAGTCTGGTATCTTTTCATATGCTTAAGAGCCATCCATATTTCCTTCTTGGGACTACACTGTCTTCCTTTTAAGAAAGGGGTTCCTTGTAACCGCACAGAATGATTTCTTCTTATGTTATATAGCTGGACCTCTAACTGCAAGAGAGGCCAGGAAATACATTTTTTCAGAAGGCACATTTCAGTCCCCAACAAAACAAGGAAGATGGGGAGGGGGGAGGGAATGGCTGCTGGTTAGGTAGCCAAAGGTCCCATCTTCAACAGAATTCTTATCTTGCTGTTGGTTGAAACTTTAATTTTCAGAGGCCTATCCAGAGGGGAAAAAATAAGGTAGCTAAAAAAGCAAGACCTATCAATAGAGATAAGCTCTGCTAATGTGACTGGTATGTCTAAATTGCATGCAGTTATGCTTTGTTTCTTTTTTTAATCTTTCAGTTCCTTTAGGAAAATGAGTTTATGAGTCTTCTATATTGGCTTAACATTAAGAACAATATATTTAGATAATAATATTGAAAAAAAATCCTACCTCATTCACTTCCTGACTGTGTAATCTTGGACAAGGTACCAAAGCTTTCCATGTTTTCTCATCTGTAAAATGGGTTCAATAATAATTCCTACCACAAAGCTGTTTTGAGGAAATGACTAGATGTTTTTTAAACACTCAGATCTTACAATGTCTGGTACATAGTAAATGCTGTCTAAATAGCATTTAATGAGCTGGCACTACTGTTATCCCAACTTCACAGATGAAGATTCAAGGCCTACAGAGATTGGCCCACCATCATTTAGGGAATGAAAAAGCCCTAAAAGTGTTTAGCATTTAAAAAATTTCAGCTTAGTTTTTTTACTTTTCTTTTCTTTCTGTTTTTTTTAATTTGGTCTCAAGTAGGAGGCCTCCCCCTCTCCCTGTCCCAGCCCCCCACTACCCCCAGCCTAAGCAGCTACTATGGCCAAAGTCTCCAGCACAGTGTTGTCCCAGGAGGGTTGGTATCTCTCAGATGAAGGCATTGAAGCTTGCACAAGTTCTCCTGACAAACTCAATATAAATGAAATCATCCTGATTGCTCTCAATACAGACTTGAGAACAACTGGCAAAAAATTCCTCCCCAGTGACATCAATGGTGGAAAAGTAGAAAAGCTTGAAGGTCCCTGTGTTTTGCAAATTCAAAAATTCCACAATGTTTCTGCAACAAAGGGTAATGAAGAATCTCAGGCTGCACCAAGAACGCTGTGTTTGCAAACGATTGATGATCACATAAGTTGCACAGCAGTAGAATATAATCATATATCAAAAATAAGCCTGAACACACCACCTGGAACTAAAGTTAAGCTCTCAGGCATTGTAGACATAAATAATGGATTCCTGCTCTTGAATGACACTAACACCACACTTCTTGGCAGTGAAGTGGAACACCTTATTAAGAAATGGGAGTTACAAAGAAGCTTGTCAAAACACAATAGAAGCAATATTGGAACTGAAGGTGGACCACCTCCTTTTGTGCCTTTTGGACAGAAGTGTATATCTTATGTCCAAGTGGATAGCAGAGATCTTGATCGATGAAAGACACTGCAAGTTACAATGCCTGTCAAACCTACAAGTGATAATGATGACTTTGAAAAGCAAAGGACTGCTGCTATTGCAGAAGTTGCAAAGAGGGAAGAAACCAAGACATTTGGAGGAGGTGGTGGTGGTGCTAGAAGTAATCTCAACATGAGTGCTACTGGTAACTGAAATAGGGAAATTTTACAGAAAGAAAAGTCAGCCAAATCAGAGAGAAAACATGAAGGTGTCTATAGAGAACTGGTTGATGAGAAGTCCCTGAAACACGTAACAGAAATGGGCTCCAGTAAGGAAGCATCGAGGCAAACTCTTGTGGATATTGGCAACAATTTAGAAGCAGCACTGAATGTACTTCTTAATAGCAATAAATAGAAACCTGCTACAGGTCCACCTCTGACAGGTAAAGGAAAAGGCAGGGGGCGAATAAGATCTGAAGATGAAGAGGAACTGGGAAATGCAAGGCCATCAGCACAAAGCACATTATTTGATTTCTTGGAGTCTAAAATGGGGACTTTGAGTGTGAAAGAACCTAAGTCCCAGCTGCAGCAGCTTCATCAGGGACAGCACAGATTGTCAAACACTGAGCAAAATAGAGTGAAAGATAATCATCAGCCAAGATATCTTCCTCGAAATGATACCAGACAGCCAAGAAATGAAAAACCTCCTCGTTTTCAAAGAGACACTCAAAATTCAAAGTGAATTTTAGAAGGCAGTGGATTACCTAGAAACAGAGGTTCTGAAAGACCAAGTACTTCTTCAGGATCTGAAGCAGGCTGAAGAGAGAATCAAGTGTGATAGACCATGTTCTAGATATGATAAAACTAAAGATACTTCATACTCTTCAAGTTCTCAGTACAATGACGGTGCTTTTAAAAAAAGGGATAACTCTATGCAAAGATCAGGAAAAGGTCCATCCTATGGAGAGGCAAAAGAAAATCCACTTCCTCAAGAATCTGTAGATTATAATAACCAAAAACATGGAAAAAGAGAAAACCAAACAGCAAGTCCTGATCATTTTTATGACAGGAAACTATGAACAATAAATAATGAAGCTTTGTAAAAATGGAAAAACATTTCCATATAAATACTGATTACCAGAACGCTGTCCAAACTAATAGTTTCATTGGTGTTCCAAATGGGGAGACAGAAATGCCACTGAAGGAAAGGTGAGTAGGACCTATTAAGCCAGAAGGACCCATCACAGCTACACTCTATGATGATAGAGTATTTTACAATAGTGGGCCCAAAAGAAGAAGATCTGGAGGGAAACAAAACCAAAAATGAACAAGTGGAACTACATCAAGCTGAAAAGCTTCTGTACAGCAAAGGACACCATCAATAGAACAAAAAGGCATCCTACAGTATGGGATAATATATTCATAAATGACAGATCCGATAAAGGGTTGTCATCCAAAATATATAAAGAGCTCACGCACCTCAACAAAAAGTGAACAATCCAATTTAAAAATGGGCAGAGGAGCTGAACAGACAGTTCTCCAAAGAAGAAATTCAGATGGCCAACAGACACATGAAAAGATGCTCCACATTGCTAGTCATCAGAGAAATGCAAATTAAAACCACAATGAGATATCACCTCACACCAGTAAGGATCGCCAACATCCAAAAGACAAACAACAAGAAATGTCGGCGAGGTTGCGGAGAAAAGGGAACCCTCCTACACTGCTGGTGGGAATGTAAATTAGTTCAGCCATTGTTTGTGGAAAGCAGTATGGAGGCTCCTCAAAAAGCTCAAAATAGAAATACCATTTGACCCAGGAATCCCACTTCTAGGAATTTACCCTAAGAATGCAGCAGCCCAATTTGAAAAAGACAGATGCACCCCTATGTTTATCGCAGCACTATTTACAATAGTCAAGAAATGGAAGTAACCAAAGTGTCCATCAGTAGACGAATGGATAAAGAAGAGGTGGTACATATACACAATGGAATATTATTCAGCCATAAGAAGAAAACAAATCCTACCATTTGCAACAACATGGATGGAGCTAGAGGGTATTATGCTCAGTGAAATAAGCCAAGTGGAGAAAGAGAAATACCAAATGATTTCACTCATCTGTGGAGTATAAGAACAAAGGAAAAACTGAAGAAACAAAACAGCAGCAGAATCACAGAACACATGAAAGGACTAAGAGTTACCAAAGGGAAAGGGACTGGGGAGGACGCCTGGGAAGGGAGGGAGAAGGGGGGGAAGAAGAAAGGGGGCCTTACAATTAGCATGTATAATGTGGGTGGGGCACAGGGAGGGCTGTGCAACACAGAGAAGACAAGTAGTGATTTTACAGCATCTTACTACACTGATGGACAGTGACTAATGGGGTATGTGGGGGGACATGATGAAGGGGGAATTCTAGTAAACATAATGTTCCTTATGTAATTGTAGATTAATGATACCAAAATAAAATAAATAAAATAAATAAAAAATGGAAAAAATAAAATAAAAGCACTGAAAAGTTAAAAAAAAAAAAGATCTGGGCCAATTAAACCAGAAAAAGTACTAGACTCGTCTATTCCTATGGAGTACTCAAAACTGTGGAAAACTGGAGATGAATGCTTTGCACTTTATTGGGAAGACAACAAGTTTTACCAAGCAGAAGCTGAAGCTCATCATTCTTCGTGTATGACAGCAGTTGTTAAATTTATTGATTATGGAAACTATGAAGTGGTGCTTCTAAGCAACATCAGGCCCATTCAAACAGAGGCATGGGAGGATGAAGGCACCTATGACCAAACCCTGGAGTTCCGCAGAGGAGGTGATGGCCAGCCAAGAAGATCCACTCGGCCAACCTGGCAGTTCTACCAGCCTCCCCACACTCAGAACTAATGCCAGAAGAGTCTTTGTGAAGAAAGGAGCCCTTGACTGCAACATCCTGGTCAAAACCTGTTGATAGACCTCCTACTTCCCCTTCAAAATAAGACACAACTGTGGTGGATATTATTTGGAGAACAAAAAAGCAGATTTTAGGGTGAAAAAGAATTCAGCCCATACAAAGAATGGGAAAAAGTACTGAGTTAACTAAAGCAAATACCTTTTACGTGTGAAAGAATTTTTTCTTCTGCCATCAATAAAATTAGTGCTCTATTATATATATATATATAAAATCCAGCTTAAATAAAATGCACAATTTTAAGAGTGTGCCTTGACAAGGTGTACTTATGGTTACACCTGCAAGCAAATAAGGGCATTCACAACACCTTAGAAGGCTCCCTGGGGTATTCACTTAGTTGATTCTTACCCCCCCAAATTAAATGCTGTTATGATTTTTCGCCAAAGATATTTTGTCTGTGTGGAATTTCATCCAAATGGAGCCATACTGCATGTCTATTTTGTTATCTGTGCAGTCTGAATTTGAAGCCCAGATGGTCCCACCATTGACTGCCATCTTAACATTACCTTATCCTGACTTTTAAAGCAGCCACTGTTCAGGCTTTTCTTGTTTTCCCAGCACTCCTCTTCCTTTCCTCTCTTTCAACCGCACCCCTGAAATGTAACTGTCCGTCAAGCCATCGACGAATTCTAATTGGTCAGTTCTGCAGTAGACACCTCTCCACATACTCTCCACCCTGGGGCAGGACCGCCAGGAAGCTCGTGTCAAGAGGTGGGCCAATGGAAGGATGGCATATTCCAAACCTTCCACCCGTCCACCAATGGGAGAATGATGTTCCCAACTGCCTCAGCAGAGCTCCCTCAGCGTCACGCCATTGAAGTTTGACACCTTCCTTTTGTTCTGAGAAGGTCCCTTCAAAGCTGCTTAAGAGATGCATGATGGCAAACCCCAACTCCCTACATCCCTCCTGGGCCTTCCTCACTCCTCCCGTCCCTGGAGTGGACGGGAGAGGAGGCTTTTCTGGACAAAAATAACATATATGTAAATATATGTTTTCAGGGGTTCTCCTATTCTTTTTTTTTTCTTTTTTAATAGCTTAATACTTTGTTTTTTCTTTTTAAAGAAATATTATTTTAAAATTTCAAATCTCGTTACAGTTTGAACACACACACACACACACACTCACCCCTTCTTTTTTCTGTGTTCTGAATGCTAATGAGAATTACCAGCCTCCCTCCCTAGCCTCCACCTTGCCCCTCAGAGGTAGGGACTAGGAGCAGGGAGAGATAACATGAGGAGTTTGAGGCACAGAGGATGGGATGGGAGGAGTTAAGAAAGAGCTGGCACATCATTAAGGTTGAAGGAGAAAGGGAAGGAATTTTAAGGTGTGAGATGGATGGGGAGGTATAGACCAGCTTCAGGGATTACAGGGAAAATGAATGAAATTGTTGGAATCGTATTGATAACAAAAAAATTAGGATTTTCAATTGCTGGATGAGGGATATTTAAAAGGCAATAGGATCCTAAAGAGATTAGGGAAGAGTTATGCCTGGTGGCTTTTGATGGCCACAGATTAATGGACCACTGAGTTATTGGCTGAAGGCAGTCTCTGAACCTGAAAGGACACTGTGCTGAGACATTCTCATGGCCATCTTTTCTTACTTTCTGTACTCCAAACAGGCATGCCCTTGCTGATTGTAGTGGGCTGCATTTTCTTCCCATTGAGCTTTGCTTTCCTCTGCTGGGGTCTGCAGAACCACCCCAACCTGCAGATGGAGAGACCAGAGGCTGTTTTGGTGGCATCCAAGTAAGAGGAGGGGATGAGGGCATACTTCCTGGGGTCAGGGCTGAAGGAAGAGTTAGTGGTGAGAGAAAAAGCAGAGTATGTGTGTATGTGTAGGGAGGGATTAAGAGCCAAAGACACTGGCTCTTTTTAAGTGTCTTTTGTAAAGTCATTTAAACCCTCAGAATTTGAGAACCCTCATTTGTAAATAGGTGTAATAAGAATACCCACTTCCCATTCTTCATGGAAATGTTGTGTGCGGGTCAGGTAAATTCATGCCTATAAAGTTAAGGGCTTACAAACTCCTGCAGGTAACATGAGGGATGGAGACTTTGTGGGCACGCTGTGAGCTGGAGGACTCAATGTTCATCCCATTTCATGGGGGGAGGATCTGCTCAGCTCCAGCCAAACATTATGGAGTTAGAATGTGGGCCCAATGTTTCCTGATCTTTTGATTCTTTCTTAAAAGATGTTCAGCTTTTATGCAAAATCTCCTAATTTTTAAACATTGACACATAACTTGGAATTTAAGGAAATACTATACTGGCAACACCATACTGTCCAAACAAAACTTGTTTATGGGCTGGATTGCACCCTTGTGCTGCAGATTTGTAACCTATTTGACAAAGCTTAACCTACATATGAGCTATCATTAAACCTTGGGTAGGAGAGGGAGCAAGCAGAAGACAGAATCCACTTGGGTGTCTAAGTGAGTTCCTGGAACACAAAAACCTGTCTCTGCCTGCTTTACTCCACAGCATCCAAAGGAAAACCATATCTCCATGGCCAGGCGTGCACACCTCAATCCCATAGTCGTGGTGACCTGCCATTGCCCACCTTTCCCCCAACTCAGCAGCTTTTTGTAACTTTGCTCACCTTTGGCTTTAGAGTTATGCAAACATGGGTTTGAAATCCAGCTTTTCCAAATTCTCCTAGCTCTGTTATCTTGGGCAAGATTTTTGTCTTTTTTTTTTTTTAATCTCTAGGTCTGTTTCTTGTCTATAAAACAAAGATACTGGGAAGTTTAAATAAGAATGAACACAAATCACCTCCCCCGGTGCCCAGCATGTAGTAAACACTCAGGAAGTAGAGTTCCTTTTCCCTTTAAGTGAAGCCCTAATGTCAGGAAGCTCGTCCACTAGGGTCTCTGAAATTGTCCCAAACTCTTGCCTAAGGCGAGACCTCGCAGAACCTGTTCCAGCAGATGCCACTAGAAGGCAGCACGAAACTGCAAATCCCAGCCCTTTGCTTCTCTTTTGGGGAGATGACAGGCAAAGGCAAATTATAGGGTTGCTTACTAAGGTGGATTTTACCGCAGGCCTGGAAGCTCAAATACAGTTTGGGTAGCAGACCCTAAAGCATGCAGAAGGCCATAGCACGGGTGGGTTCAGGACAGGAAGGCTCAGTTTCAGGGAGGCAACATGAAAAGGTGAGAAGCAGCTCCAAGGCCAGTCTGGTTCTAGCTAGTCTTCTGACCTGGAGTAGAACCCTGGCCAAGTCACTGGGCTTGGTTTTCTTGTGGGTTGAATGAGGGGCTTGAATCAGCCAATCCCTCAGGTCCTTTCCCACTTGGGAAGGCTGTTCTGTGAAATCGCAGACAGGGAGCCATGAGCACAATAAACCCGGAGAAAAGGAGAGTGAATGGTGCTTAGCTGAGGCCAGGAGAGGCCAGGCTGCCTGAAGGACAAGGGCAGGGGCATCCTCTATTCGAGGTGGGTTTTCAGAGAGACACCATTTCCCCACCCCTTTCAAACCCTGCAGCCCCTCTGACACCCAGTAGGAGAGGGTTCCTGCCTCTTCTTAACAATGTGACCTTGGGGAGGGTCACTGAAGGCCTGGGAACCCTTCTTGACCTGTAAAAAGAGGACAAGTGCTGTTACCTCAGTGCTGTTACAATAGTTAGATGAGATCACGGACAGTCATGCAGCAAAGCTGAGACCTAGAGGCACATTAAATATACCTTCAGCTTCCCTTCATCCCATTGGTGTGAAGAACATTGTGTGTGGGGTGTTTCTGAGCCTGAAGGACTCTGTGTTGAGTGTTTTTATTCCCATCCATTCCTTAAAGTCATCCTTCACAGACAGCAAGATGCACCACTTTCTCCCATGCTCTCCTTCAGGGACTTCTGTCTCTTTGCTGGAATGGGTACCCCTAAGCTTGGAACCCCATGGGCCTCTGAGGGACACATGTCGGGCGGTGCTGGCAGAGGAAGAAATGGCAGGCATTTGCAGAATGCTGGTGGAAAACGGGCTCAGGTCCATCAGGAGGCTCAGAGCTGCGTCCTAGCTGGCCAAAAGGTGCCTGGTCACCTTCCTCCCCAGGAGAAGAGCCTCCCCTCCCAGGGCCCTTGTCCCCAGCAGTCCCCTGTGCAGCAGCTTCTGTCTCTTTAAGGGCCTCCCCCTCCCTCTGTCTCTGCTCCCCCAATCTCTGTCGCAGCCGCTGCTGTGGCTCAGAGCTGCATGGAGAGACGCTGCTGCAGGTCCAGATTTTTGGTGTCTGGTTGGTGCCATCACCTCCCCACCCCTCCCCCCACCCTCCCCAAGCTGCTGACTCCCCCTCCCCCTCCCCCTCCACACCGAGGGGGCAGGGGGCTGGGCACAGACGATCTACAATGCCCTGTGCAGCTTCTGTGCCGGGCAGCAAGGACTGTGGCGGCAGCAAGAGGTGGGAGAGCAGTGCTGACCACTGACCATTTGCCTGGCTGCTTCGCTGGCTTCCTCCCTCCCTCATTCCTGACTCTTCAGGGCTGGCACCACAGTCCCACCCCCCACCCCGCCTTCTTGGCCCTCCCAGCTTCTCCACGTAAGCCCCCCTCCCCACCTGCCTCTTCTCGCCCTCCCCTCCCCCACCCGCATCCTCCTCCTCCCTCCCGTACTCTCTTTCTCTGTCCTCTCATCAAGTCCACCCCTCTGCCTCTCTCCCAACCCTCTGGCTGCCTTTCTCCAGCTTCCTTTCCCAGATCCTCCCTCTCCCCAGTCTCTCCCCATTTCCCCAGCCTCATCCAACTCCTTTCTCCCTTCCTCTGGTCTGACTCTCCTGCCCCATCCCATCCCCGCCCTGTCCCTTTGTGCCCCTTCCTCTTTTCCTCCGTCCCTGCCTTGGCGTCCCTCCGCCACCTCCCACTCCCTTCAGCTCGGCGTCCCTTTCCCTCTACGTCCCCTCCCTGCCCGAGGCCTGAGCCACCATGCTGACCCCAATGGTGGCTGGGGGGGT